TCCCCTCTCTCTCCAGATGAAATCTTGCGACTTGTGACAGCCGGCCGCCCAACAACCTGCCCGCTTGACCCTATCCCCTCCTCTCTTCTCCAGACCATTTCCGGAGACCTTCTCCCTTACCTCACCTCGCTCATCAATTCATCCTTGACCGCTGGCCATGTCCCTTCCGTCTTCAAGAGAGCGAGAGTTGCACCCCTCCTCAAAAAACCTACACTCGATCCCTCCGATGTCAACAACTACCCTTCTTTCTTTTCTCTCCAAAACTCTTGAGCGTGCCGTCTCTAGCCAACTCCCTGCTATCTCTCTCAGAATGACCTGTCAGGTTTCAAGACTCGTCATTCAACTGAGACTGCTCTTCTCTGTGTCACGGAGGCTCTCCGCACTGCTAAAGCTAACTCTCTCTCCTCTGCTCTTATCCTTCTAGACCTATCCGCTGCATTTGATACTGTGAACCATCAGATCCTCCTCTCCACCCTCTCCGAGTTGGGCATCTCCGGCGCTGCTCACTCTTGGATTGCGTCCTACCTGACAGGTCGCTCCTACCAGGTGGCGTGGCGAGAATCTGTCTCCGCACCACGTGCTCTCACCACTGGTGTCCCCCAGGGCTCAGTTCTAGGCCCTCTCCTATTCTCTCTATACACCAAGTCACTTGGCTCTGTCATATCCTCACATGGTCTCTCCTATCATTGCTACGCAGACGACACACAATTAATTTTCTCCTTTCCCCCTTCTGATAACCAGGTGGCGAATCGCATCTCTGCATGTCTGGCAGACATATCAGTGTGGATGTCGGATCACCACCTCAAGCTGAACCTCGGCAAGACTGAGCTGCTCTTCCTCCCGGGGAAGGACTGCCCGCTCCATGATCTCGGCATCACGGTTGACAACTCCATTGTGTCCTCCTCCCAGAGTGCAAAGAACCTTGGTGTGTCCCTGGACAATACCCTGTCGTTCTCCGCTAACATCAAAGCGGTGACCCGATCCTGCAGGTTCATGCTCTACAACATTCTCAGAGTACGACCCTACCTTACACAGAAAGCGGCACAGGTCCTAATCCAGGCACTTGTCATCTCCCGTCTGGATTACTGCAACTCGCTGTTGGCTGGGCTCCCTGCCTGTGCCATTAAACCCCTTCAACTTATCCAGAACGCTGCAGTCCGTCTGGTGTTCAACCTTCCCAAGTTCTCTCATGTCACCCCGCTCCTCCGCACACTCCACTGGCTTCCAGTTGAGGCTCGCATCTACTACAAGACCATGGTGCTTGCCTACGGAGCTGTGAGGGGAACGGCACCTCCTTACCTTCAGGCTCTGATCAGACCCTACACCCAAACGAGGGCACTACGTTCATCCACCTCTGGCCTGCTAGCTCCCCTACCTCTACGGAAGCACAGTTCCCGCTCAGCCCAGTCAAAGCTATTCGCTGCTCTGGCACCCCAATGGTGGAACAAGCTCCCCCACGATGCCAGGACAGCGGAGTCACTGACCACCTTCCGGAGACACTTGAAACCCTACCTCTTTAAGGAATACCTGGAATAGCATAAAGTAATCCTTCTTCCCCCACCCCCCATAAAAAAAAAAGAAAAAAGAAAGGTGGTTGTCCCACTGGCTATCATAAGTTGAATGCACCAATTTGTAAGTCGCTCTGGATAAGAGCGTCTGCTAAATGATGTAAATGTAAATGTACAAATTATTTATAATCATGTTCCGGCCACCCCGACCATCCTCTCCACAGCAAAAAACGTCCTGCGACTGAATCTAGGTGATGATCCCTGACCTAGCAGTCCTCTGAGAGAGAGAGATAGAATGAGAGGTACATGGGTCAACCATGGGCTAACCCTAACCCTAACCCTAACCCTAACCCCAACCCTAACCCTAACCCTAACCCCAACCCCAACCCTAACCCTAACCCTAACCCTAACCCCAACCCCAACCCTAACCCTAACCCCAACCCTCCCCCCCACCAACAGAGCAGAGGGGTCAATGTGAAAATGGTGAAAAGGGCTGTGTTACGCACTACAAGCCAAGATCTTTAGTAAAGAACAGATTATTTTAAAACGTGGCCTCGGGATTACTTATCAATCAAAATATTATGTAAGAGAGGAATTTAAGTTAGCAGTTTCTGTCCATCAATATAACGATTTTTCTATCCACCCATTGTTGTACCCTTTCATTGAATGAGTTCAACGTGAGCACAGCACAACAAACAAAACATATTCACAACTCCCTACTTTATTGTAATGTTACTTTATTACATTCATAAATTGCAACGACAAAAGCATGTTTTCCAAAGTCAAATGTTCACAGCCCACATACTGTACAATCACAACAATCAATATGAGGTAGATGACTCAGGTCAAGGCTACCATCGGGTGGGTCGCATAATCTCTAGAAAGAAACATTCATGCGCACAACAGATGATGCTTCAGTGAAGACTGTGAGAAGCAAATTGCATAACTTACATGTTCATCTAATTATCTACAAACAAGACACATTCTATGGGTCAAAAGGGTTTGATCATCAATTAATCAACCAACTGTCTGTCACTACTGATAGTGTAATCTATATTTTCTGGTGTCTTTGTTAATCTTTTACCCTTTACAGTTTTGATGACAATGGTCAATACTTTTTATTTTGCTGCTGTTGTATAGTGCAAGTTCACATTTCCTACCCCCTCAACATTCAATAGATAACACTCAAGATCTCTTGGTCTTGTGCAAAGCCTTCATCGATGGTTTTCAGAAGAGCATACACTCCTTGATTTTATGTAGCTCAGTCAGCATGCAATCAATATTATTACACTTCAATATGATTATCAGTCCAAAATGCTTGATAACATAAATAAGAACCTCTCATGTAAAGGACATGATTTTCATTTTAAATAAACAAAATCCAACATGAGAAATGAGAGGGAAACATACACATGGTAAGAAGAAGAAATCTTACATAGATTCGTTGTGCCTTGCCTGGCAAACACAGAATGCAGACAAATACATTATCATGACACCAAAACATAACTGATAAAAGTGACACAATACTAAAATGGTCATTAACCCTCTGTGAGCCGTAATAGGGTTGATTTAATATATTAATAATGTAAACAAAGCTTAACAACAGACAGTAGTCCTAAAATCCAACTATTTCCCTAAACTCAACCCTAACCAGTCAAATTATATCTCTAGCTTGGTCTATGGCCATTGTAAGACTTATTACAATATTACCTTCACTGTAAATGAGTCACCATTGAGTGATTGATCTATGTAACAACATCACTTAATAAGGCATATTCTTTGGATGACCGTGTGCAGTAACATATAAAAAACATTCCTACCTGTTTTCAACTGACCTAGTCATCTGATGGTGACTCTACACACCCATTCACTGATTATCCATGGTTTCATGCGAAAACCCTGCAACTGTAAGTGATTTGACTGGATGAATTAAGGTATATGGGTGGAGGCCTAAGCCATCTATAATAGCAGGCACAGAAAATAGAACACTGAGTAATATTACAATCAGAAACAATACCACAGGAACAATCAATAGCAAGATAGAGGTGGCAGTGAAGGTTTGCTCTTTCTCTAGCATGCTTATCTAGTAGTGGGAGCTACTGGGATATATGCATCATCTGCATAACATGAAATAGAATTCTACTATTTATCTAAGTATCAGCCCTTTAGAGGTAGCTGATTGGTCAACAGGTCTCTTCCTGCTCTCCCTCACTCTTTTTGATTGGCTCAGTTAAATTAAAAAAGACAATGTCATGGGAACAGTTTTGTGAGGGACAACATGTTACATTATGAAGGCACAAGAGCAACAGGATCCCTTGCAATGGCTTGCCAGTCAAATTAAACTGGACTGGACTGTATAGAATGTATAGAAATCAAATACACTCTAGGCAGACAGTCGAGTGGGATAGTGAGAGGAGAGGAGAAGTGAGGAGAGTAGAGGAGGTTAAGGTCAAGGTGCAGATGTGGATGTCTTTTGTGGGTGATATTTCAGGGTATCATCAACATTACAATTAAGCAATAAGGCCCAAAGGGATGTGGTATATGGTCAATATACCACGGCTAAGGGCTGTTCTTATGCACAACGCAACTCGGAGTATCTGGATACAGCCCTTAGCCGTGGTATATTGGCCATATACCACAAACCCCTGAGGTGTCTTATTGCTATTATAAACTGGTTACCAATGTAATTAGAGCAGTAAAAATAAATGTTTTGTCATACCCGTGGTATACAGTCTGATATACCACGGCTGTCGGCCAACCAGCATTCAGGGCTCGAACCACCCAGTTTATAATGGATAATAAGTAACAACAATTGACACTGAAGGCGAGAAAGAAAAGCAGTAGTTAAAAACCCTGAGATAAAGCGTACGTCCATGACAGGACATACCAACAAGAACTGCGTTCGTCACAGCTCCACGTTTACAATCTTTGAGTTTATACAATCTTTTAAGTCCCATTATCAATGATGAGCGTCGCTTTTTGCAGATAGAAAATACATCAACAAATACAAATGTTCATTAATAATAACGCTGATTTTTGCACAGCAATGTCTTTGATTTGCAAACAGGCTCAGATCAGGGACAGACACAAGCCTCAGTTAAGAGTCTCTGGCTGAACAATTCTGTTCCAAACATAGTGCAGTGTGGTAGAGGAGCGTATAGGAGGAGAAGTCACATCCACATTGATGATGACCACGTGTCCATATAGGGCTATTTGGGCCTGGGTGTGCCCCAATACATCTCTCTGATCTCCTGACATACAGAGAATTGTTGTGATTGTTAACTGGTCTGAGAACAGATGCTATCCTCCTGTCTGATTAGGGTCTGTGTGACATGAGGTCAGCTGAACAGATCTGAGAACAGTGATTTCATTCTCTGACAGACAGAGAATCATTGTGATTGTTAACTGGTCTGAGATCAGAGGTTGGTGGTTATCCTTCTGTCTTGTTAGGGTCTATGGAACAGGAGGGCAGGTCTGGCATCAGTCTCAGGGTTAAACATGGCGTCCGGTGAGGAAGTAGAGGGGCCGGTCCTCGCTGCAGTTGGCCGTCTGGAACTCATCCCTCAGGCGGAACTGCCACTCGTCCTCCAGCTCCAGCCGCACGATGGTCTGACGCAGAGAGTTACGGTCCCCGCAGATCACACACAACGTAGCACCTAGGGACAGGGTCAGGGGTGAGGGGTCAGAGGTCATAGGTCAGGGAACAAATCAGAAAGGTGCTATTGTTTTCCTACTGTATATATGTGTATTGCTGTATGGTTCATTATACAGTATATGTCATTTTGGATGTATATATTGGAAAACATTATAATCAGAGGTCAGAGAACCAGTCAGAAAGGTGGTAATGATCGAGCGAATTTAATTGAAGATTAATAGCCCTAGGCCTCACAGACATTACATTGGTCAAACCTTTCATGGTTCCGAAACTCTGGATGAGGTTACTCTTAACTTTACATAAGGGCAAAAAAACACAACATTGAAATAGTATTAGTTACCTTTGAGAAAGCGAAACTTCTTGAGGAGGCCAGAGATGACGAAGGAGTCACACAGGTAGAGCAGAAGGCCGCTGAAGACCAGATCCTGGTGGTCCAGGTTAGAGGAGTGTGGTCTGGAGCTGACATAGCACACTGACACCTGTGGATGCAGAAAGCACAGTCACATCTCCACCATCTCATTCATTATGTTTTATCATGGGAACATGGAATCATTCCATTTGTCCAAATTCTATACGTTAAATTCTTAAAACCTGTGGTTGACTTAAATATTTTACAATAAAAGTATTTAGCAGAAATCAATTTATTTAATTTTTATTTCACCTTTATTTAACCAGGTAAGCCAGTTGAGAACAAGTTCTCATTTACAACTGTGACCTGGCCAAGATGAAGCAAAGCAGTGCGATAAAAACAACAACACAGAGTTACATATGGGGTAAAACAAAACATAAAGTCAAAAAATACAACAGAACATATATATACAGTGTGTGCAAATGTAGCAAGTTATGGAGGTAAGGCAATAAATAGGCTATAGTGCAAAATAATTACAATTAGTATTAACACTGGAATGATAGAAGTGCAAGAGATTATGTGCAAATAGAGATACTGGGGTGCAAATGAGCAAAATAAATAACAATATAGGGATGAGGTAGTTGGGTGGGCTAATTTCAGATGGGCTGTGTACAGGTGCAGTGATCGGTAAGGTGCTCTGACAACTGATGCTTAAAGTTAGTGAGGGAGATAAGAGTCTCCAGCTTCAGAGATTTTTGCAATTCGTTCCAGTCATTGGCAGCAGAGAACTGGAAGGAATGGCGGCCAAAGGAGGTGTTGGCTTTGGGGATGACCAGTGAGATATACCTGCTGGAGCGCATACTACGGGTGGGTGTTGCTATGGTGACCAATGAGCTAAGATAAGGCAGGGATTTGCCTAGCAGTGATTTATAGATGGCCTGGAGCCAGTGGGTTTGACAACGAACATGTAATGAGGACCAGCCAACAAGAGCGTACAGGTCACAGTGGTGGGTAGTGTATGGGGCTTTGGAGACAAAACGGATGGCACTGTGATAGACTACATCCAATTTACTGAGTAGAGTGTTGGAGGCTATTTTGTAAATGACATCGCCGAAGTCAAGGATCGGTAGGATAGTCCGTTTTACGAGGGCATGTTTGGCAGCATGAGTGAAGGAGGCTTTGTTGCGAAATAGGAAGCTGATTCTGGATTTAACTTTGGATTGGAGATTCTTAATGTGAGTCTGGAAGGAGAGTTTACAGTCTAACCAGACACCTAGGTATTTGTAGTTGTCCACATACTCTAGGTCAGACCTGTCGAGAGTAGTGATTCTAGTCGGGTGGGCGGGTGCCAGCAGCGTTCGATTGAAGAGCATGCATTTAGTTTTACTAGTGTTTAAGAGCAGTTGGAGGCTACTGAAGGAGTGTTGTATGGCATTGAAGCTCGTTTGGAGGTTTGTTAACACAGTGTCCAATGAAGGGCCAGATGTATACAAAATGGTGTCGTCTGCGTAGAGGTGGATCTGAGAGTCACCAGCAGCAAGAGCGACATCATTGATATACACGGAGGAAAGAGTCGGCCCAAGAATTGAACCCTGTGGCACCCCCATAGAGACTGCCATAGGACCAGACAACAGGCCCTCCGATTTGACACATTGAACTCTATCTGAGAAGTAGTTGGTGAACCAGTCGAGGCAGTCATTTGAGAAACCAAGGCTATTTAGTCTGCCAATAAGAATGCAGTGGTTGACAGAGTCGAAAGCCTTGGCCAGGTCGATGAAGACGGCTGCACAGTACTGTCTATTATCGATCGCGGTTATAATATCGTTTAGGACCTTTGCATCAATGCACGAGTTGGACACGAGTTGGCCTTCAGAAAGTATTCATACCCCTTACATGTTCTACATGATAGAATCACCTTTGGCAGCACTTATAGCTGTGAATCTTTCTAGGTAAGTCTCTAAGAGCTTTCCACACCTGGACTGTGCAACATTTGCACATTACAGTGCCTTCAGAAAGTATTCATACCCCTCGACTTATTCCACATTTTGTTGTGTTACAGCCTGAATTCAAAATTGATTAAATATAGTTTTTGTCTCACCCATCTACACACAATACCCCATAATGACAAAGTAAGTAAAAACATGTTTTTTGACATTTTTGCAAATGTATTTAATAATAAAATACAGAAATAATTCATTTACATAAATATTCACACCCATTTTACATTTACATTTTAGTAATTTAGCAGACGCTCTTATCCAGAGCGACTTACAGTTAGTGAGTGCATACATTATTTATTTTTGTACATTCTTTTTTTATTTTTTTATTTGTTGTATTTTTTTTTCATACTGGCCCCCCGTGGGAATCGAACCCACAACCCTGGCGTTGCAAACGCCATGCTCTACCAACTGAGCTACATCCCTGCCGGCCATTCCCTCCCATACCCTGGACGACGCTGGGCCAATTGTGCGCCGCCCCATGGGTCAATACTTTGTAGAAGCACCGTTGGCAGCGATTACAGCTGTGAGTCTTTCTGGGTAAGTCTCTAAGAGCTTTCCACACCTGGATTGTGAAACATTTGCCCATTATTCTTTTAAAAATTCTTCAAGCTCTGTCAAATTGGTTGTTGACCATTGCTAGACAACCATTTTCAAGTCTTGCCATAGATTTTCAAGTAGATTTAAGTCCAAACTGTAACTCGGCCACTCAAGAACATTCACTGTCTTCTTGGTAAGCAGCTCCAGTGTAGAGTTTAGGTTATTATCCTGCTGAAACGTGAATTAATCTTCCAGTGTCTGGTTAAAAGCAGACTGAACAAGGTTTTCCTCTAGGATTTTGCCTGTGCTAGCTCCATTCTGTTTCTTTTTTATCCTGAAAAATGGAAGTTACGAATGTAACTATGGTTCTACGAATACCTGGAAGACCGTCAGTACGGTTGAAAGTATGGATTATATCCCTCGAGCGCCGCGCATGTTGAGTAATAATATCAAGAAAGTCACGTCGGTGACGTGACAGTGGGAGGACGTGCCCCCACGGTTCATATAAAACCGTAAGTCAGACCACGCACTGAATCTTCTCGGCCAAAGATTTTGAGTGACAGGAAAGTACTGACGGTCTTCCAGTTATTTGTAGAACCATAGTTACATAGTTATTTGTACGGTCTGAAAGGAAGTTACGAATGTAACTATGGTTCTACAAATACCTGGAAGACCATCAGTACTTATACCAACAAGGTCGCGAGGAATAGCACTACTAACCTCTGATTAATGAGCCTGTGCCACTGGAAGAATGGCAGACCCCATGGTGTGGCAGGATGCGACGTTGACCTTGTATAATCTTGAGAACGTGCAGGGCGACGACCAGGTAGCAGCTGCACATATTTCATTCAGGCGGACGCCTCTCAGTGCAGCCCAGGATGTGGCGACACTTCTGGTCGAGTGACATATCACACCGTTTGGGACAGGGAGCCCTATATCCTTGTAGGCCTGAGCGATGACATCCACAACTCAGTGAGAAAGCTTCTGCTTGGACAATGCAAGGCCATTTTACTTCCCAGTGAAGCACAGAAACAGCTGGTCTGACTTCCTGTAGTGCTCCGAGGCTTGCATATAGCGTTTGAGAGAACGGACTGGACACAAAAGTAGAGAACTTTACAGACCATGAGTGGTCTTGTTGTAATGAGGACATGAATAAGGGATAGCTGTCCCTTCTCATTCCTGATACATTTTGGATTTTAGACAAATCTGACAGAGTTGACCAAATCTCCAGACACATCTTTTAGGAATCTAAGTTTGTAGATAAATATTCTTTAAAGTCACAGAAGGCTATTGCAAGAAACTACATATTATAATTTTTCAGTTAATATCCATTATTGCCCGTTTTTAGAATTGTAAACACTTTTTTGGTAAGTTTGAAATTGGGATCCTTTGCTCCAGAAGGGCATTTCCAGGCATAGAGCAATATGGACATTTTTAATATTGAAAGTACAGTATTTTGAAAATTCTAAAAACAAATCTTTCCCCTTTTTACTATAAAAATACAGTTTCCCTGCCGGACAAGGATTGTCCTGACTTTCAAGAATCCCTGAGGTAATTTCCTGCTATCCTGCACATTTTGCCATGAGGCTAAAATAAAATGTTGCAGTTTTAAAGCTAAATTCTTATAATTCTAAAAAAAAATGTCATGGCTTATGACTTGTTCACATGCTATCTGGGGGCCCCCGACCTCCGGAGGGACACCAACCCAAAGATTGTGTGCCCCCCCCCCCCGCATTGCGAGGGGGGGGGGGGGGGGGGGGGGGCACACAATCTAGGTGTTTTTTGAGGTAGCTGTCTATGGATCTTACTTCAGGGCCTATGTTGAGGTAGCTGTCTATGGATCTTACTTCAGGGCCTATGTTGAGGTAGCTGTCTATGGATCTTACTTCAGGGCCTATGTTGAGGTAGCTGTCTATGGATCTTACTTCAGGGCCTATGTTGAGGTAGCTGTCTATGGATCTTACTTCAGGGCCTATGTTGAGGTAGCTGTCTATGGATCTTACTTCAGGGCCTATGTTGAGGTAGCTGTCTATGGATCTTACTTCAGGGCCTATGTTGAGGTAGCTGTCTATGGATCTTACTTCAGGGCCTATGTTAAGGTAGCTGTCTATGGATTCTTCAGGGCCTATGTTGAGGTAAACTGTCTATGGATCTTACTTCAGGGCCTATGTTGAGGTAGCTGTCTATGGATCTTACTTCAGGGCCTATGTTGAGTAGCTGTCTATGGATCTTACTCAGGCGGCACTATGTGAGGATACTGTCTAGGGATCTACTCAGGGCCTAGTTGAGGTAGCTGTCTATGGATCTTCTCAGGGCCTATGTTGAGTGCTGGTAGTGGCTATGGATCTTACTTCAGGGCCTATTTGAGGTAGCTGTCTATGGATCTTACTTCAGGGCCTATGTTAAGGTAGCTGTCTATGGATCTTACTTCAGGGCCTATGTTGAGGTAGCTGTCTACGTCTTACCTCAGAGCCTATGTTCAGGCAACTGTCTATGGATCTTACCTCTGGGCCTATGTTGAGGAAACTGTCTATGGACAGCACAGGGTTGCTGCTGTTCTGTACTGCCTTGGGGAACAGTCTGTGGCTGCAGCTTTGGAGGAACTTCTCTAGGAGGAACTGAGCCGGGGCAGCCAGGAGGGTGTGTTCACTGTCTGGGGCACAGACATACTGGTACGGGCTGATGGGGGCTGGGTTCCTCCATCACCTAGAGGGGGAGCAGGGTGGGGTTTAGGGTGACTGACTGGGTTTCAGACATATTCAGGCACACAGAAACACACTATACTATATAAAAAAAGGTTAAAAAGAAGGATGTGGTAGAAAAAGTAGGAGCAGAAAACCCACCATGAGTTTGGGTTTGACCAGGAAGTCCTTGTGTCCTCCAAAGGGAATGTGTTTCTTCATCAGGCTGAAGTGGTTGAAACGACAGAGCAGCAGACCACTGCTGTTGGCTCTCAGGTTGAAGTCCACCTCCTCACAGCTGTACCTGTTGAGGTCGTACTGGACGTTCTGTGTCAGGTCCACGTTGAGTATGACAAAGTCATGGAGGTGGCATCGGGAAAAGGGCAGGGCAGGCAGGCGGCGGGCCAGGGCGCTGCTCCACTTGCGGATGCCACACATGGTGTACAGGGAGATCTTAGGAGTAGCCTCGATGTGCTGCAGCACCGTCTTCATAGACACGTTGGTCAGACTGGACCTTGTGTTTGCCATATCACTGCGAGAGAGAGGGAAGAGGGGGTAGACAGATATTAGTAAGGGTGTTGATAGAGTAGTCCAGATAAATGATGGTTATTTCTGAGAATTCATTGCAGATCGATATTCATGAGCCAATAATCTGGGTGTTTTTGTGTATATATATATATATAAAAAGATATTCTTCATTTTAGCCAGTTAGAAGACGCTCTTATCCAGAGCAACTTACAGCAGTGAGTGCATACATTTTGGTACTTTTATCATACTGGTTGCAAGCGCCATGCTTTACCAACTGAGCCACACAGGAGGATATGCTTGTTTGCTTGCGTGCGTATGTGCGTGTGCATGCCAGTTTAAAGTTTGAAACTGTACCTGCTGTTGTACTGGGGTTGGTGTGCGTTCCAGAGCACACAGGAGTCGTTCATCATGACTATGAAGGGCCAGACGTCCTGCTTCTTGACCCCCTGCTCCTCCAGACGGTGCCTCTCCAGCTCCAAGTTGTGGTATGACAGCTCCTTGATCATCGACCGAGCCGCCCCTGGGACAGAGACAACAATAATGTTACAGCTATGTTACTGACAGTGGGTACGTTCCAAATGGCACTCTATTCTCAATATAGTGCACTACTTTTGACCAGGGCTCTGACCATAATGATATACAGTTGAAGTCGGAAGTTTACATACACCTTAGCCAAATACAGTGGGGGAAAAAAGTATTTAGTCAGCCACCAATTGTGCAAGTTCTCCCACTTAAAAAGATGAGAGAGGCCTGTAATTTTCATCATAGGTACACGTCAACTATTACAGACAAAATGAGAAAAAAAATCCAAAAAATCCCATTGTAGGATTTTTAATGAATCTATTTGCAAATTATGGTGGAAAATAAGTATTTGGTCAATAACAAAAGTTTCTCAATACTTTGTTATATACCCTTTGTTGGCAATGACACAGGTCAAACGTTTTCTGTAAGCCTTCACAAGGTTTTCACACACTGTTGCTGGTATTTTGGCCCATTCCTCCATGCAGATCTCCTCTAGAGCAGTGATGTTTTGGGGCTGTTGCTGGGCAACACGGACTTTCAACTCCCTCCAAAGATTTTCTATGGGGTTGAGATCTGGAGACTGGCTAGGCCACTCCAGGACCTTGAAATGCTTCTTACGAAGCCACTCCTTCGTTGCCCGGGCGGTGTGTTTGGGATCATTGTCATGCTGAAAGACCCAGCCACGTTTCATCTTCAATGCCCTTGCTGATGGAAGGAGGTTTTCACTCAAAATCTCACGATACATGGCCCCATTCATTCTTTCCTTTACACGGATCAGTCGTCCTGGTCCCTTTGCAGAAAAACAGCCCCAAAGCATGATGTTTCCACCCCCATGCTTCACAGTAGGTATGGTGTTCTTTGGATGCAACTCAGCATTCTTTGTCCTCCAAACACGACGAGTTTATTTTTTACCAAAAAGTTCTATTTTGGTTTCATCTGACCATATGACATTCTCCCAATCCTCTTCTGGATCATCCAAATGCACTCTAGCAAACTTCAGACGGGCCTGGACATGTACTGGCGTAAGCAGGGGGACACGTCTGGCACTGCAGGATTTGAGTACCTGGCGGCGTAGTGTGTTACTGATGGTAGGCTTTGTTACTTTGGTCCCAGCTCTCTGCAGGTCATTCACTAGGTCCCCCCGTGTGGTTCTGGGATTTTTGCTCACCGTTCTTGTGATCATTTTGACCCCAAGGGGTGAGATCTTGCGTGGAGCCCCAGATCGAGGGAGATTATCAGTGGTCTTGTATGTCTTCCATTTCCTAATAATTGCTCCCACAGTTGATTTCTTCAAACCAAGCTGCTTACCTATTGCAGATTCAGTCTTCCCAGCCTGGTGCAGGTCTACAATTTTGTTTCTGGTGTCCTTTGACAGCTCTTTGGTCTTGGCCATAGTGGAGTTTGGAGTGTGACTGTTTGAGGTTGTGGACAGGTGTCTTTTATACTGATAACAAGTTCAAACAGGTGCCATTAATACAGGTAACGAGTGGAGGACAGAGGAGCCTCTTAAAGAAGAAGTTACAGGTCTGTGAGAGCCAGAAATCTTGCTTGTTTGTAGGTGACCAAATACTTATTTTCCACCATAATTTGCAAATAAATTCATTAAAAATCCTACAATGTGATTTTCTGGATTTTATTTTCTCAATTTGTCTGTCATAGTTGATGTGTACCTATGATGAAAATTACAGGCCTCTCTCATCTTTTTAAGTGGGAGAACTTGCACAATTGGTGGCTGACTAAATACTTTTTTTCCCCACTGTACATTTAAACTCAGTTTTTCACAATTCCTGACATTTAATTCCTAGTAAAAATTCCCTGTCTTAAGTCAGTTAGGATCACTACTTTATTCTAAGAATGTTAAATGTCAGAATAATAGTAGAGAGAATTATTTATTTCAGCTTTTATTTCTTTCATCACATTCCCAGTTGGTCAGAAGTTTACATACACTCAATCAGTATTTGGTAGCATTGCCTTTCAATTGTTTAACTTGGGTCAAACGTTTTGGGTAGCCTTCCACAAGCTTCCCACAATAAGTTGGGTGAATTTTGGTCCATTCCTTCTGACAGAGCTGGTGTAACTGAGTCAGGTTTGTAGGCCTTCTTGCTCGCACACGCTTTTTCAGTTCTGCCCACACATTTTCTATAGGATTGAGGTCAGGGCTTTGTGATGGCCACTCCAATAGCTTGACTTTGTTGTCCTTAAGCCATTTTGCCACAACTTTGGAAGTATGCTTGGGGTCATTGTCCATTTGGAAGACCCATTTGTGACCAAGCTTTAACTTCCTGACTGATGTCTTGAGATGTTGCTTCAATAGATCCACATAATTTTCCTTCCTCATGATGCCATCTATTTTGTGAAGTGCACCAGTCCCTCCTGCAGCAAAGCACCCCCACAGCATGATGCTGCCACCCCCGTGCTTCACGGTTGGGATGGTGTTCTTCGGCTTGCAAGCCATCCCCTTTTTCCTCCAAACAAAACGATGGTCATTATGGCCAAACAGTTCTATTTTTTGTTTCATCAGACCAGAGGACATTTCTCCAAAAAGTACGATCTTTGTCCCCGTGCACTGTTGAGTGTAGTCTGGCTTTTCTATGGCGGTTTTGGAGCAGTGGCTTCTTCCTTGCTGAGCGGCCTTTCAGGTTATGTCGATATAGGACTAGTTTTACTGTGGATATAGATACTTTTGTACCTGTTTCCTCCAGCATCTTCACAAGGTCCTTTGCTGTTGTTCTGGGACTGATTTGCACTTTTCGCACCAAAGTACGTTCATCTCTAGGAGACAGAACGCGTCTCCTTTCTGAGCGGTATGACAGCTGCGTGGTCCCATGGTGTTTATACTTGCGTACTATTGTTTGTACAGATGAACATGGTACCTTCAGGCGTTTGGAAATTGCTCCCAAGGATGAATCAGACTTGTGGAGGTCTACAAATTTTTTTCTGATGTCTTGGCTGATTTCTTTTGATTTTCCCATGATGTCAAGCAAAGAGTTTGAAGGTAGGCCTTGAAATACATCCACAGGTACACCTCCAATTGACTCAAATGATGTCAATTAGCCTATCAGAAGCTTCTAATGCCATGACATCATTTTCTGGAATTTTCCAAGCTGTTTAAAGGCACAGTCAACTTAGTGTATGTAAACTTCTGACCCACTGGAATTGTGATACAGTGAATTATAAGTGAAATAATCTATCTGTAAACAATTGTTGGAAAAATTACTTGTGTCATGCACAAAGTAGATGTCCTAACCGACTTGCCAAAACTATAGTTTGTTAACAAGAAATGTGTGGAGTGGTTGAAAAACGAGTTGTAATGACCTAAGTGTATGTAAACCTCTGACTTCAACTGTATATGATGATGGTGGAGACTCACTGATTCCTTTTTATGACTTGACTAGGAAAAGGCCTGAACTCTGGTTATCACCAAGGTCAATTCCAACAGATTTATGTGGGTCATAGTCACAAATTGTATGAACACAGCAGAAAAATATTTGCCAACCGCTAACCAAAGAGCTCTACCACAGAGCTCCAACTACAACTCTAAGGCTCTAACTCAAACGACAGTCTGAACACAGTAGCTTTGACCTGAATTCAAATGATTACTTTATTGGTCCTCTCACCTGCTGAACTGTCCAGTTTTTTCACCCTTTACCTAATGCCCCTATTGCTGCACGTGCCACGTACCTGTAGTGCTGCAACACTATTGGTACAACCATAAAGACTACACACCTGATTGGTGGATCCATATATCAGACTACTGGCCTGCTTGTGTTTTCATTGACCAGGCCCTTCCCTATTGGTTACTGTAATATTTAACTCTCACCTACCGACTACAGCTTTACTTAACCGATGGCAAATACAGTATGTCTCTTGAAGTTCACACTGACTGCCATAAATGCATCACTATCAGCAGAGAGAGATAAGCTACTGGGCAAACTAAAAGTGTAAAATACATTAGGTTATAAATAAAGTAATGCCTAAATATAGTTTATACAACACAAGGCAACTCTATGATTTCTTTGTTGAGTGTTCTATCAGAAAAAATAAGAGCTTTGACGAAGGCCTTGTGGCCGATACGTAAAGCTTAATAAAGAGCAGTGATACTAGCAAGAGCAGTGTGCAGGTTTCTTATTTTTTCTCATTTTATTCAATTGTTACCATGCACCTGCAACAAAGATAGCTCAGATGTGTGAGTGCCTTTTGAATTTTGAGTGTTCTATCACAAATGACTATGGTCCTCAATGCTACCACTCAGCAGTGAAACACCTTATTGAGCACTATGATGGGACGAAAAACCTGTAGCACTGCTACTCTCCAATCAAGGATCACAGAACTAGACCAATGAAATGAGAGGAACTATCTAAATGACTGATTGCCAGACACTCGGAGTAGGGTGAGGTTTCCCCAAGACGCTGATCTTGGGTCAGTTTTGTATTTTTCCCACTAATGGTTAAGGTTAGGATTGTGGGAGGGGAAGCTGATCCTAGAACTGTACCTAAGGGAAACTTCACACCGGAGCCCAGACACTCACCGACTCCGGCGCTGTTCAACATGGCTGGCAGCACCAGCAGGATGTGGTTGGGCCATTTTTTCCTGTAGTGTTGCATCTCGTACTCCTTGACCACCAGGATGTGGAGGTGGGCAGTGCCCTCCATGGCGTGGAAAATGTTGAGAAGGCCGTGCTCCTGACGCCCCGTGGTCGGGGTGAAGATGGGGCTCTTCAACAGACTGGGGTCCTGGGGAGAGGAAGTAGAGATATAGTTAAAGTTGCATAGTGCAGCTGGCTAGGGCCCAGGTAGCCTGGTCAAGCAGACTGACTGCTGAGCTGAGCTATCATGAGATCAGGCTGCTTCCACTAGACTAGGGCCCAGGGCTCTAGCCAACAACTAAAGTGAGAGAAGGAGAGATACATTAGTGCATAGTTCGCTCTATGTGTGACATGTGGCAACTCCTTGTAACATAATGACGTGAGTGTCTGTGTTGCTTATGTGTTGCTTACTTTATGTGTTGCTTACTGTATGTGTTGCTTATGTGTTGCTTATATGTTGGTTATGGCACTGTTTCATTTTATCACATAGCATGCACTACTGATTATAGAAGCTGAAGGGAGAGAACATTCCTTGCCACTATTCATACTCATCTTGGGAACAACATTCTTAGAACTTGAGGGCAGACTCAAGATTTTCCTCATCACCCTTTACCTTAGCAGAGACGAGGGGCAACCTCATGCTCTCCAGGTGGCTGCCCTGCTGGCTGAAGATAAAGTGCTGCTCCTTGGCCTTGGGGATGATGAAGTGGAGCTGCACCTCTCCCAGCATGGACGAGCAGAACGGGAAAGCGTGGAAGGTGCACTCCGACAGCTGAACACAAACACATCAACACACATTGTTACACATCCTGTACACTTCCAGCACAGTCAGAGCTCCACCACCCAGCACACCACTCCTCACCACTCAGCACACCACTCCACACCACCCAGCACACCACTCAGGACACCACCCAGCACACAACCCAGCACACCACTCAGCACACCACTCAGCACACCACCCAGCACACCACCCAGCACACCACTCAGCACACCACCCAGCACACCACCCAGCACACCACCTCAGCACACCACCCAGCACACCACCCAGCACACCACTCAGCACACCACTCCACACCACTCCACACCACTCAGCACACCACCCAGCACACCACCCAGCACACCACCCAGCACACCACTCAGCACACCACCCAGCACACCACCCAGCACACCACTCAGCACACCACCCAGCACACCACTCAGCACACCACCCAGCACACCACCCAGCACACCACCCAGCACACCACTCAGCACACCACCCAGCACACCACTCCACACCACAAAAGAGGGAAGGGGGGTGCTGTTGAGAACACACAACACAGCAATAGTTGACACAGGTGTTCTGTTCGTTACGCCAATAAATCAAGTTCTCCCATGAGACAAATAATATCTTCACAATGACAAACTACCTCTTCCCTCCCAGAGCCATCTTTATATAAATATACAGTATGGCTCAGTTCCCTCCCTATGTACTGACCTGTGTGGCAGGGCTTCCTTCACGATAATGGTGACACTGCTCACAATGGTGAAATGCATTGTGAGCCGCGAACATACTCAGCCGGATCGACACAGTCTCCCTCTTTACAGGCATTTGGCTCTCTCCTTCCAGTATAGGATCTGCATTGACAAACATTACAGTTACACCCACATGCTAAGCGACAAAGCAGTTTAAGATACACACAGATAACAAATCAATATACATTGCACACTTAGGTAGAAGTTGCCCTTAAACACAGATCCTCAACTCAACCTATTAATGGGGTCCACTCATATCTGACCCTGAATCAGTGAATCAGGGCAGCTTCCTCCTACAACGACAGGGACGTGGGACATGAATAAGAGTTTATTTCTGCTGACCTTTCAAGCCCTTTGGCATCTTGTCAGTGTAAACGGAACTGGCCCTTCTGAACTTAGGGTCTCTGGGGAAGAGGTCGAAGGGCAGTTTGCGGATCTCCTCGATGTCTGGCCACTGGGTCATGGCTGGGGGTGTGGCCTTGGCGATGTCCGTGATCGCTAGAAGAGGAAGAGAATGATACATCAACAAACATTGACATCAGCTTCAGTTCCTAGACTCAGACAGTATCAGAGAGAGAGAGAGAGAGAGAGAGAGAGAGAGAGAGAGAGAGAGAGAGAGAGAGAGAGAGAGAGAGAGAGAGAAGAGAGACGAGCGAGAGAGAGAGAGAGAGAGAGAGAGAGAGAGAGAGAGAGAGGAGAGAGAGAGAGAGAAACACAGATAAAGACAGAGATAGATAGATAAAACAGAAAATCCAGCTCTCCTCACTTTCCTCCAGCTCCTCTTCATCGTACACATCCACCTCCAGCAGTCTAATCAACATGCGGAACAGGATGCGTAGAAACTGCAGGTAGGCACCGGTCTTCCCCACCTATTACAGAGAACAGAGTTTTTTTTATTATTTATTATTTATTTCACCTTTATTTAACCAGGTAAGCCAGTTGAGAACAAGTTCTCATTTACAACTGCGACCTGGCCAAGATAAAGCAAAGCAGTGCGATAAAAACAACAACACAGAGTTACATATGGGGTAAAACAAAACATAAAGTCAAAAATACAACAGAATATATATATATATACAGTGTGTTCAAATGTAGCAAGTAATGGAGGTAAGGCAATAAATAGGCTATAGTGCAAAAATAATTACAATTAGTATTAACACTGGAATGATAGATGTGCAAGAGATTATGTGCAAATAGAGATACTGGGGTGCAAAAGAGCAAAATAAATACAATATAGGGATGAGGTAGTTGGGTGGGCTAATTTCAGATGGACTGTGTACAGGTGCAGTGATCGGTAAGGTGCTCTGACAACTGATGCTTAAAGTTAGTGAGGGAGATAAGTCTCCAGCTTCAGAGATTTTTGCAATTCGTTCCAGTCATTGGCAGCAGAGAACTGGAAGGAATGGCGGCCAAAGGAGGTGTTGGCTTTGGGGATGACCAGTGAGATATACCTGCTGGAGCGCAGACTACGGGTGGGTGCTGCTATGGTAAATGGACTTACCTATCTGGTTGGTACCACTGACACTCTGACATTGCATGCAGCCATCAACACTCAATCTTAGGCATACATTCAACTACCATAATTATACACAATTGCCTCTTACGACCAGACAACTAGGCCGATATTCTCTTGCACATGGTGGTGGAAGACTGATAGTTATCTCTGTATCCGTATGGGAGGGATATGATAGAAAAATCCATATCAGCATGCAGTCTAGACTACGGCGGATGACTTGCACAGGAGAGGGGCTGTCATTGATATAGATATGAGGTGATATATTAATATCTGTATGGTCTCTAACCTGTGGGGGTCCACTGAGCAGCAGGCGTCGTGGGTGTGGCCCTGGGGGAGCCTCGTGGTCGGCATGGTGCTGCCTGGCTACAGTCCACTGTCTGTAGAAGAGGCTCTGCTCTGCCCTCTGGAGGTTAGGTGTGAAGAGGGGCCTCAGCGGGCTGCTCCAGCTCACATCGGCGTGAGGCAGCAGGGAGAAGGAGCTCAGCTGGCTCCCTGATTCTCCAGCCAGGAGGCTGTAGGCCGCGCGGGACAGTATGACAGTCCGGGGAGAGACTCGAGGTGACTTGCTGCCCCGGCCACACTGCGTGGACTGGCTGGGGCGCTGGGTAGAGGAAGAGGAGAGGGAGGAGGAAGAGGAGGAGCAGGAGGGAGGGGCGTTGGAGGGGCGGGGGGCGACATTACCCGGGGAGTCACACTCCTGTTTGACCCGGCAGGGGGAGGATGAGGTCGTGCCCAGACCTGTCCTGTAGTCCATCATGATGCTGCCTGCCTTGCCTCCGGGGGGACAGGAGGAGGTGGAGGGCTTCTGGGAGGAGTCAGGGACTTCAGAAGAGCTGACCCCGTTCTCTGCCAGAGAGCCTGAGGAAGGGAAAGGAATAGGATGGGGAGAGAGAGAGTTCAGAACAGTCTTTCATCACAACTGTTTCATAAACGCTTTCCAACTGTAACACCATCACTACATTCCCTAAACATGTTGAGTCTGTTGTCCAGGGACCTACCGGAGGCTTTAGTAGCAGTGCTAACATTGCTCTGGGGCTTCTCCAGGTCCACGTGAAGCTCTAGGTCTGGGCCCTGGGGGCCGTTGGTCTTTTCTGTCTCTTGGTCCCTGGGGGCCATAGCCCTGTGGGGCTCCTGCACCATCCCTAGGGACACGTAGGAGCAGGCCAGACCCACCTCCTGCTCCAGGGCCGTACGTGTCTGGTAGCTGGAGTCGATCAGACGCAGATCACAGTACTTCAGGGACCTATAATGGGAAAATATAGGAAAGGTGATGTGGGGGATTCAACAGTTTACCAAGTCAATCCAATAGACGAGAAATCTTTTTTACAAGATGGTGATGACCATTTGGACAAGGTATCCAAATTGGGTAGCACTTTGCATTACTAGCGTTATTACAACATTACTATACAGGTTGAAGAGCAACTTCAAGTGTTACCCAAATTGGTAATATGCTGTCATCATATCAGTACTACAATAATATCAGTACTACTGTGGCAAATGTGATGTGTTTGAGTTGAGCACCTTGGGAAGGTCTCTCCCAGAGGGTCTTTTCCAGTGAGGATGACGACGCAGGGAAGACCCTCCAGATCCTCATAGGTTTGAGGGACCCAGTCCTCACTTTCACAGCCCTGCCAGGCCTGCAGCAACAACACAACACACAACACACAGTTAGAAACGTTTTGGGGCCAAATGAAAAACAAGTTAGGTAACACTTTATTTGGATAGTTCATCTGTAGATGCTCTACAGACTATCTACACACTATCAGTAACATTTAAACTATCTACTAACCCTAACCCTAACCCTAACCATAACCTAAACCCTTATCCTTAGCCTAAACTTAAACTTTACCCTAACCCTAGCCCTAACCTTAACCCTTACCCTTATTCTAAACCTAACCCTAACCGTAACCTTAGCAAGCAGTTTCTTATCAACAGATAGTTTATTGATACTATTACCATCCGTAGAGCATCTACAGATGGACTATCCAAATTATCCCAAAAAAGTATGACCCCAAGTTATCTCACCCTGAGTCGGTTAGCGAAGTGTCGTGGAAGGCTGAGCTCGGCGGCAGGGCTCCCCAGCAGTACGGCGAAGCAGAACTGGAGACCCAGCTTGTCCCTGACGTCCTCCAGGCGCTCCCGGGCCAGCATGGCTAGCTGCAGAGAGGGCACCCGGACCAGCAGCATGTGGCCCCGGCCCCTGGTCCCCTCCCGGCCCGGGGCACTGATCAGATCCTCCACCATGGCCAGGGTCTCGGGGGTGATGTGGTCCCGTAGAGAAGGAGAGGAGGTCAGAGCCATCATTGCTTCCGTGTACTGCTGGATCAACAGGTAGCTCCTGATCACCATGCTGTGTAGGTGGGGATGTCTGCAACCAGGAATGGAGAGGTGGTGGTGTTAGTCGTTTTAAGGCAGGTTTGGTGTCCAGGTGAACTGGCTTAGCAGCTTTTTGGGGAACTGGTCAAGCCAAGCATGGACTTTCTGATGACCCTGAACATAAACTTCAATTTTCCTTAAATTGTTCAAATCATTGATATGTAAGAAATGGTTGCAAAAATAAAAGAAATTGTATGAAATGTATCAATATGTTTTACTTTTATGACACAGAGGGTGTGTGACAGAGAGGAAGAGAGGAATTGCCTCTCACATAGACTATCAGCCTGAAATGTGACCTTAAACCTCCCAAGAGATTATTTGACCTCTGACACAGAGTGACTGACTGACCTCTCCAGCAGCGTGTTGACCATCTTCTCGAAGGCATCGTCACAGCGCAGGATGGGACTGGCCACCCCCCACCGCAGAGAGCTGCTGTAGTCCCTCAGGCCAAAGTACACTAGCTCCTTAGGAGAGAGCTCCCCCTACGGGTAAAACACAGGAACATCAGCTAATGTCAAAGCAAACTGACTGTTCTCTGTGTCTGTTCATTTATTTTTACATTTGTTGTCTCAGTGATGGAACAATATTCTACCCCCATTATTTGTGCGGCCATTTAGAAGTTTTTACTTGCAACGATTGTGATATGTGTTTGTTTTCCTACCTTAGTTGAATGGACTGACCAAGTCGCTCTTGGTAAAGGTGTCTGCTAAATGACTCAAATGTAAATGCAATTCCATATACACTACCGGTCGAAAGTTTTAGAACACCTACTCATTCAAGGGTTTTTCTTTATTTTTACTATTTTCTAAATTGTACAATAATAGTGATGACATCAGAACTATGAATAAACACATATGGAATCATGTAGTAACCAAAAAAGTGTTAAACAATATTTTATATTTGAGATTCTTCAAATAGCCACCCTTTGCCTTGATGACAGCTTTGCACACTCTTGGTATTCTCTCAGCCAGCTTCACCTGGAATGCTTTTCCAACAGTCTTGAAGGAGTTCCCACATATGCTGAGTACTTGTTGGCTGCTTTTCCTTCACTCTGCCGTCCGACTCATCCCAAACCATCTCATTTGGGTTGAGGTCGGCGGATTGTGGAGGCCAGGTCATCTGATGCAGCACTCCATCACTCTCCTTCTTAGTAAAATAGCCCTTACACAGCCTGGAGGTGTGTTGGGTCATTGTCCTGTTGAAAAACAAATGATAGTCCCACTAAGCCCAAACCAGATGGGATGGAGTATCGCTGCAGAATGCTGTGGTAGCCATGCTGGTTAAGTGTGCCTTGAATTCTAAATAAATCACAGGCAGTGTCACCAGCAAAGCACGCCCACACCATAACACCTCCTCCTCCATGCTTTACGGTGGGAAACACACATGCAGAGATCATCCGTTCACCCACACCGCGTCTCACAAAGACACGGCGGTTGGAACCAAAGATCTCCAATTTCTAATGTCCATTGCTCGTGTTTCTTGGCCCAAGCAAGTCTCTTCTTATTATTGGTGTCCTTTAGTAGTGGTTTCTTTGCAGTAATTCGACCATGAAGCCCTGATTCACACAGTCTCCTCTGAACAGTTGATGTTGAGATGTATCTGTTACTTGAACTCTGTGAAGCATTTATTTGGGCTGCAATTTCTGAGGCTGGTAACTCTAATGAACTTCTCCTCTGTAGCAGAGGTAACTCTGCGTCTTCCATTCCTGTGACGGTCCTCATGAGAGCCAGTTTCATCATAGCGCATGATGTTTTCTGCGACTGCACTTGAAGAAACTATAAAAGTTCTTGAAATGTTCCGGATTGACTGACCTTCATGTCTTAAAGTAATGATGGACTGTCGTTTCTCTTTGCTTATTTGAGCTGTTCTTGCCATAATATGGACGTGGTCTTTTACCAAATAGGGCTATTTTCTGTATACCACCCCTACCTTGTCACAACACAACTGATTGGCTCAAACGCATTAAGAAGGAAATGAATTCCACAAATTAACTTTTAACAAGGCACACCTGTTAATTGAAATGCATTCCAGGTGACTACCTCATGAAGCTGGTTGAGAGAATGCCAAGAGTGTGCAAAGCTGTCATCAAGGCAAAGGGTGGCTATTTGAAGAATCTCAAATATAAAATATATTTGGATTTGTTTAACACTTTTTTGGTTACTACATGATTCCATATGTGTTATTTCATAGTTTTGATGTCTTCACTAATATTCTACAATGTAAAAATAAAGAAAAACCCTTGAATGAGTAGGTGTTCTAAAACTTTTGACCGGTACTGTAGGTGCCACCAGATGGCGTAGGGCCACTCACCAGGCTGTCTGTGTTGACTGGCCAGTGCACCTCGTTGTGAACACTGATGCGGGACTGTCTTGTCTGCAGGGCAAAGGGGAAGCAGCTGACCTGCAGCACCAGCAGGTTCAAGGCCTCCAGGACCTCCTGGCAGTTTACCACCTTGTCAGCCAGACCCTGAAGCTCCCCGTGGCACACCGAGCCGCACAGGGCACTACACAGGGAGGGGAAACGAAAATTAAGTTACCTTGGGGTAAGTTGTTCTGTCCTGTTCTATATGTATTACTAAAAATAAGCCTCTGCTCTTTTCTTTACTTGTTCTGTCTTGGCTTGGGCTGTTCTGTTCTTATTCAGTACACTGTGCAGCCGAGGACCGACCCTTTAGCGATAGCAAAGTTTCATTTAATTTCATCTGTCAGAACCAACAGTGTCAGCACCAGAACTTCAAGTTTACTCAAATGTGTGTGTGTGCATGTGTGTGTGTGTTACCTGGTCAGGTCCACGTGGGAGTTGTCGTGGATGAGGACGAACAGGGTGTAGGGGTTCTGTTTGACTTTCCTCATGAAGGCCTCCATCTTGGTGTGGAAGTCTCCGTCTAGACGCACCACGTACTTGTCTGACCTCTGGTGGGCTGAGGAAGCATCCTCCATACCCAGGTCCACAAGCACTCCTGTTAGAGACAGGCAGAAAGAGATGACTAAAAGTCCAACAATCGTTACTAAGAAAGCTCATAAAAGGCAAATATACTGTAGTCTTGACATGGGCCTCTTGGAGACGACCACCTAAAAATTAGATTTTTCAATCCATTGTACTGCCAGTGCAGCCTTTAAATTTGCCCCTCATGAGTACCTGATTGTCGGATGCGATGAGCGGTCTGGTTCACCAGGACGTGAGACGGAGGAACCAGAATCAGGAAGTCCACCTTGCAGAAGCGTCCCAGGTCCAGACTCTGGCTGCCTGAGTCTGCTATGGAACACACCAGGGAGAGCAGGCTCCTGGCTACACTCAGCTGGGGAGAGTGGATCTGAAACATCTCACTCAGCTGGGGAGGGTGGATCTGAAACATCTCACTCAGCTGGGGAGGGTGGATCTGAAACATCTCACTCAGCTGGGGAGGGTGGATCTGAAACATCTCACTCAGCAGCTCTGGAGGGGGAGGGGGAGGGGGGAGGAACATTCAGGTCAGCATACTGGAAATTTAGAGAATTCGGAAAGTATTCAGACTCCTTGACTTTTTCCACATTTTGTTATGTTACAGCCTTGTTCTAAAATTGATTAAATAAAAAAATGTCCTCATCAATCCACACACAATACCCTATAATGACAAAGCGAAAACAGGTTTCTAGAAATTTTTGCAGCATTGAAGGTCCCCAAGAACACCGTGGCCTCCATCATTCTTAAATAGAAGAAGTTTGGAACCCCCAAGACTCTTCCTAGAGCTGGCCTCCCGGCCAAACTGAGCAATCGGGGGAGAAGGGCCTTGGTCAGGGAGGTGACCAAGAACCCGATGGTCACTCTGACAGAGCTCTAGAGTTACTCTGTGGAGAATCTTCCAGAAGGATAACAATCTCTGCAGCACTCCACCAATCAAGCCTTTATGGTAGAGTGGCCAGACGAAAGCCACTCCTCAGTAAAAGGCACATGACAGTTTGCCAAAAGGCACCTAAAGGACTCTCAGACCATGAGGAACAAGATTCTCTGGTCTGATGAAACCAAGATTGAACTCTTTGGCCTGAATGCCAAGCGTCACGTTTGGAGGAAACCTGGCACCATCCCTACAGTGAAGCATGGTGGTGGCAGCATCATGCCTTGGGGATGTTTTTCAGCGGCAGGGACTGGGAGACTAGTCAGGATCGAGGGAAAGATTAACGGAGCAAAGTACAGAGAGATCCTTGATGAAAACTTGCTCCAGAGCGCTCAGGACCTCAGGCTGGGGCGAAGGTTCACCTTCCAACAGGACAACGACCCTAAGCACACAGCCAAGACAACGCAGGAGTGGCTTCGGGACAAGTCTCTGAATGTCCTTGAGTGGCCCAGCCAGAGCCCGGACTTGAACCCGATCGAACATCTCTGGAGAGACCTGAAAATTGCTGTGCAGCGACGCTCCCCATCCAACCTGACAGAGCTTGAGAGGATCTGCAGAGAAGAATGGGGTAAACTCCCCAAATACAGGTGTGCCAAGCTTGTAGCGTCATACCCAAGAAGACTCGAGGCTGTAATCACTGCCAAAGGTGCTTCAACAAAGTACTGAGTAAAGGGTCTGGATACTTATGTAAATGTGATATTTTTTTCATACATTTGCAAAAAAATCTAAAAAATTGTTTTTGCTTTGCCATTATGGGGTATTGTATGTAGATTGATGAGGGGAAAAAACAATTTAATCAATTTTTGAATAAGGCTGTAACGTAACAAAATGTGGAAAAAGTCAAGGTGTCTGAATACTTTCTGAATGCACTGTATACAGTAGCTTATGATATCTATCCATCCATATTCTGATCCAGAAGCTTCATAGTGAGTCTCCAGTAAGAAGAGGAGGAGGAGACAGAGGAAGGGCCAGAAAGAGGCTGTGCCTCACCTGACTCGGAGGGAGGTACCATGGTGGCTGCCACCTGGGACTGGATGTGGTCGGTGACATCGCCCTGGAAGGGCTGGATGACCTGGCCCTTCCGTAGCCGCTGGATATGTACCAGCTGCTTGTCCAGGTTGTGCCCTGGAAAGAACAACACAACAGGCCACCACCAGTCAGAGACAAAGACACTCAGACACGCACGCGCGCACACACACACACACACACACACACACACACACACACACACACAGCAGCTACATAAGCAAAACCTCCTCATCAAATATTGATTTGTCTGTCTGTGGCACAGTGTCCCGTTTCAGTCCTGTGACTGCCTAACTGCCAGTTCAGGGTATTTCCTAAACAAAGCAGTAGGGATGGGCCAGTGGGCATTAAGGAAGGTGATTATGCACCGTTGGGAAAAGATACATAAACAGAATAATATGGGACCTAGATTGTGGTGGTTTTCATGCTGACACTAAAATAAACATTGTCCTTGATGTCTTTGTAACACAGCTCATGTTTGTTTGATTAATTGATTCATTAATTAATTAAATGGACTACCTAAATAATTACTTTTACTCCAACAAAAAAACGAGAAAATAGAGTAGAAATGATCTTTGAGTGCTTTCCGTTGATGTCCTGTCCCATGTCACTTACTATGCTCACCTAGTGATGTGGTTTTGAAGTTAGACTCCAGGACACTGACTTTCCCTGTTATGAGCTCGTAGCTGATCTCCTTCAGGAACTCATTGGTGGTGAGCATCCCCTCAGCTAGCGCTCTCGCCTGGTACTTCCCTGTAAGACACATACAGACAAGTGTGAACGAGCCAGAGTGTCCTTTGCGCCGTAAGACTGTTTCAGCCCGCAGAGCTAAAGCCTCAGCACTGGGAGCTGACGCAAGACTTCAGGTCTCAGACAAGGTTCACCTACTGTAATTACTTCCATTGGTACGCTATTAATCAGGGATCATCAACTAGATTCAGCTGCGGGCCAATTCTTTCTAGAGTGGATGGTCAGTGGGCCGGAACATAATTACAAATAATTTTAAGACTGCAAATTGACCACAAGTAGCCCAAAAATAAGTAATATTTAACTAAAACATAATTATTTCAAAACTTGTTTACATTTGTATACGATCACATATATCTCTTTATTATGCTTGGGAATACTTTGGAACAGATTTGTTAAATTAAAATCACTTGGAGCTGATTTGCTAGTGTTTTTACAGTCTTGTAATGTCCAACAAATACATAAAAGAATGTATCTCCGAAAATTTGGGGGGCCAAATCAAATCACCCATGGGCCAAATTCGGCCCGTGGACCACCAGTTGGGGAACCCTGTTATAACTATACAGACACACCACATCTAGGTATTGTAGTGTACGGACAGCATGAGAACACTCACCCAGCACGAGCACACAGAACTCGTTGCCGCTCATCTCGGAGGCAAACACAATAACCACGTAGGTGGGCAGGCACTGTTGGTGGGGCGGCACGTCGCAGAGTGAGCGCAGGGACTCGGAGATGCCCTCCCCCAGGGAGTTGTGGGTGACCAGGACCTGAACGCTGCCCCCAGAGACGCTGGCCTCCAGGCGGGCTAGCCAGGGCAGCTGGGCCGGGGAGATAGAGGGACCTCCTGGACAAACTAACATGGCCTTCAGCACGATCTGCTCAAACACCTCCCTCAGAGGGATCTGCTCCGAATCTAGGGTGGGGGGAGGAGATAGGAGGAGAGGAGAAGTGTAGAGAAGAGAAGATAGGAAATAAATATATATATATATATATATATATCAAATGTCTACTTGCTATTTGTTTTGCAGGCGATGGTGGTCTTATGCAGTGCTTAATTTGAGCCGGATCGGGCATCTCTCAGTTTTGGACTGTTTTGTTCCGGAACCTATTTGACTGGATCCGGTACCTCTCATGGCCTGAAAAATAATTTTCACTTTTTGCAATGTACAAATTATAATAAAAGTTGCCTCTTCGTTAAACCAAAAGTAGATTTTCAGCCCGGGCCTGATATTCGAAGAGATGATTCGGGTTGGGCCGGCCCGGGCTTATGGTTTGCGCAACATTGCAACCTATGTTTGAAACCAACGCGTGGCCATGGCTGTGTGAGAAGAATGCCTGTATCCCTCACAGAACTATAATTAAATTAACTTTCTATGAGCGTTGCACTTTATCATTTCTTTTCTGGAGCTGCAGCAACCCTGATAAATTGAAATAAATTAGCCAAAGTTATAGAATTACTGCTGTCTGTTCAGAAATAAATGAAATAATACAGAATAGCCTACTACACCATGAGAAGGCCTATAATTTAGCCACAGAGAATCAATAACTTATTTTAAAAATGGCCTAGCTGTGGATTGTGTATATTCCAATAACAAGGTATAGCCTACAGATGGGAACGCACGGCAAATCTGTCAGTGATTTTTTTAAAAAACCATTTTAAATACAATCGCGGGAAAACACAGGTTGGAAAGCAAATGCCTCCTGCTGAAAAGAGAAGACTAATCTGTCTGCTGTAGGTTAGCAAAATATGTGAAACTGGAAAGCATTTTAATGACTATAATTTCCTCCTCATATTGTAGCCTACAGTGTCTCCACACACCTAGGCTATTGATGGAGTGCTAAGTCTAGGTCCAAAAGGCTTCTCAACAGCTTCTACTCCCAAGCCATAAGACTCCTGAACAGCTAATCATGGCTACCCAGACTATTTGCACTGCCCCCCACCACATATTTTTACGCTGCTGCTACTCTGTTAATTATTTATGCATAGTCACTTTAACTCTACCCACATGTACATATTACTTCAACTACCTCAACTAGCCGGTGCCCCCGCACATTGACTCTGCACCGGTACCCCCCTGTATATATAGCCTCCCTACTGTTATTTTATTTTACTTCTGCTCTTTTTTTCCTCAACACTTTTTTGTTGTTGGTATGATGCACTGTTGGTTAAGGGCTGTAAGTAAGCATTTCACTGTAATGTCTGCACCTGTTGTATTCGGCGCATGTGGCCAATAAAATTTGATTTGATTTGATTCAGTGTCAAAGTAGCCTGTCAATGTGATAATTTGTGCGGTATTAAAGATTCTGCAAGTCTCCAGTCATGTAAAATTACGCAGAATTGCATGAAATGCGTTTATAAAAGGCCCCATTTTTCCCGAACCCTAGGCTACTAAAAATGTTCTCCATGTGTGCAACATCTGCTCTATGTCTCTACGCAAATGCGATGATATGCATGCAATGCTTTATTAGCCTATAAAGGTGATTATTTTTTCTCATGCGTTCCGGTACCTCAGAGCTCCCAGGTCACCCCCCTCTCACACTCACTTTCTGTTCCGGCACCTCCTGATTTACAAATGAAGCATTGCTCTTATGTTTGTATAATGTGAAAAAGATGTTCAACTCAAGGTCATGCTAGTTATTTGGAGCCATTAAAGTGCATCAGTGACAGTAAGTGGAGCAGCAGCAGTGATGGAGCACTTTGAGTTACAAAGGAGGATGGGGATCCAACTACCAGGCGATTAGGCCTGGCTCGCAGTCAGCGTTCCAATTCATCCCAAAGCTGTTCGATGGGGTTGAGGTCAGTGCTCTGTGCAGGCCAATCAAGTTCTTCCACACTGATCTCAACAAACCATTTCTGTACGGACCTCGCTTTGTGCACGGGGGCTTTGTCATGCTGAAACAGGAAAGGGCCTTCCCCAAACTGTTACCATAAAGTTGGATGGACAGAATCGTCCAGAATGTCATTGTTTGATGTAGCGTTAAGATTTCCCTTCACTGGAACTAAGGGGCCTAGCCCGAACCATGAAAAACAGCCCCAGACCATTATTCCTCCTCCACCAAACATTTGGCACTATGCATTCGGGCAGGTAGCGTTCTCCTGCAATCCGCCAAACCCAGATTCGTCCGTCGGACTGCCAGATGGTGAAATGTGATTCATCACTCCAGAGAACGCGTTTCCACTGCTCCAGAGTCCAATGGCGGCGAGCTTTACACCACTCACGCAAACACTTGGCATTGCGCATGGTGATCTTAGGGTTGTTTGCAGCTGCTCGATCATGGAAACCCATTTCATGAAGCTCCCGACGAACAGTTATGGTGCTGACGTTGCTTCCAGAGGCAGTTTGGAACTCGGTAGTGAGTGTTGCAACCGTGGACAGACGATTTTTACACGCTACGCGCTTCAGCACTCGGCAGTCCCGTTCTGTGAGCTTGTGTGGCTTACCACTTCACGGCTGGGCCGTTGTTGCTCCTAGACGACATCCTTGGGGTTGAAAGCACTGAAGCTCTTCAGTTAACGCCATTATACTGACAATGTTTGTCTATGGAGATTGCATGGCTGTGTGCTTGCTTTCATACACCGGTCAGAAACCGGTGTGGCTGAAATAGCTGAATCCACTAATTTGAAGGGGTGTCCACATACTTTGTATATATAGTTTAGTTAGAAGACACAACACGGTATCTGTCTCATTATGGTGTCTGTGAGAGCACGGGAGCGACATTGAAGCCATCTCCATTTTGAACTAGTCAATGTTCTTCTTCTACTACTTCTATGAGTTGGTAAAAAAACTGAAAGGGTGCATACAGCCCCCTGGAGTGTGTTGTTTGAACAGGTATAAAGCCAAGGTTGGCGATTTACTGCCACCTGCAGTTATGGAATGTTTGCTCACGAGTGTAATTCATTGGCTGATCCCTCCTGATGACCTGGATGGAATTATGTGATCCTTCTTTAACCCATAGGAAGTCCCACCCAGTTGACTTCTTCAAAATAGTGAAAATCCTAAATGGTGCTGCCCATGCTAAGCCTGTCTTTTGGGTACTAGAGTCCTCTGTCATTCTCTATGGTGTTACCAAACTTAAAAAAACCAGGCATTGGCTGAGCTTAGCCTGTCAATCATTAGTCTTGACGTATGATTAAAAATACAGGGTGTGTGTGTACGTGTGTGTGCGTGCCTGCACATACACTACCAGTTAAAAGTTTGGACACACCTACTCATTCATGGGTTTTTCTTTATTTTAAATATTTTTTACATTGTAGAATATTAGTGAAGACATCAAAACTATGAAATAACACATATGGAATCATGTAGTAACCAAAAAAGTGTTAAACAAATCGAAATATATTTCATATTTGAGATTATTAAAATAGCCACCCTTTGCCTTGATGACAGCTTGGCACACTCTTGGCATTCTCTCAACCAGCTTCATGAGGTAGTCACCTGGAATTCATTTCAGTTAAAAGGTGTGACTTCTTAAAAGTTAATTCATGTAATTTCTTTCCTTCTTAATGCGTTTGAGCCAATCAGTTGTGTTGTGACAAGGTAGGGGGGTATACAGAAGATAGCCCTATTTGGTAAAAGACCAAGTCCATATTATGGCAAAAACAGCTCAAATAAGCAAAGAGAAACGACAGTCCATCATTACTTTAAGACAAGAAGGTCAGTCAATACGGAAAATTTAAAGAAATTTTAAAGTTTCTTCAAGTGCAGTCGCAAAAACCATCAAGCGCTATGATGAAAACTGGCTCTCATGAGGACCGCCACAGGAATGGAAGACCCAGAGTTACCTCTGCTGCAGAGGATACGTTCATTAGAGTTACCAGCCTCAGAAATTGCAGCCCAAATAAATGCTTCACAGAGTTCAAGTCACAGACACATCTCAACATCAACTGTTCAGAGGGGACTGTGTGAATCAGGCCTTCATGGTCGAATTGCTGCAAAGAAACCACTACTAAAGGACACCTCTCTACATTTTCTTCCTCTGTTTCTGCTGCTAAAGCCACTTTCTACATTTTCTTCCTCTGTTTCTGCTGCTAAAGCCACTTTCTACTACTTTAAATTTCAAGCCTCTGCCTCTAACCCCAGGAAGCTCTTTGCCACCTTCTCCTCCCTGCTGAATCCCCCTCCTCCTCCCCCTCCCTCATCCCTCTCTGTGGATGACTTCGTCAACCATTTTAAAAAGAAGGTTGACGACATCCGATCCACATTTATTAAGTCAAATGACACCGCTGGTCCTGCTCACACTGCCCTACCCTATCCTTTGACTTCATTCTCCCCTCTCTCTCCAGATGAAATCTTGCGACTTGTGACGGCCGGCCGCCCAACAACCTGCCCGCTTGACCCTATCCCCTCCTCTCTTCTCCAGACCATTTCCGGAGACCTTCTCCCTTACCTCACCTCGCTCAACAACTTATCCTTGACAGCTGGCTATGTCCCTTCCGTCTTCAAGAGAGCGAGAGTTGCACCCCTCCTCAAAAAACCTACACTCAATCCCTCCAATGTCAACAACTACAGACCAGTATCCCTTCTTTCTTTTCTCTCCAAAACTCTTGAGCGTGCCGTCTCTAGCCAACTCTCCTGCTATCTCTCTCAGAATGACCTTCTTGATCCAAACCAGTCAGGTTTCAAGACTGGTCATTCAACTGAGACTGCTCTTCTCTGTGTCATGGAGGCTCTCCACACTGCTAAAGCTAACTCTCTCTCCTCTGCTCTTATCCTTCTAGACCTATCTGCTGCCTTTGATACTGTGAACCATCAGATCCTCCTCTCCACCCTCTCCGAGTTGGGCATCTCTGGCACTGCTCACTCTTGGATTGCGTCCTACCTGACAGGTCGCTCCTACCAGGTGGCGTGGCGAGAATCTGTCTCCGCACCACGTGCTCTCACCACTGGTGTCCCCCAGGGCTCAGTTCTAGGCCCTCTCCAATTCTCTCTATACACCAAGTCACTTGTCTCTGTCATATTCTCACATGGTCTCTCCTATCATTGCTACGCAGACGACACACAATAAATTTTCTCCTTTCCACCTTCTGATAACCAGGTGGCGAATCGCATCTCTGCATGTCTGGCGGACATATCAGTGTGGATGTCAGATCACCACCTCAAGCTGAACCTCGGCAAGACGGAGCTGCTCTTCCTCCCGGGGAAGGACTGCCCGCTCCATGATCTCGCCATCACGGTTGACAACTCCATTGTGTCCTCCTCCCAGAGTGCAAGGAACCTTGGCGTGACCCTGGACAACACCCTGTCGTTCTCCGCTAACATCAAAGCGGTGACCCGATCCTGCAGGTTCATGCTCTACAACATTCGCAGAGTACGACCCTACCTTACACAGAAAGCGGCACAGGTCCTAATCCTGGCACTTGTCATCTCCCGTCTGGATTACTGCAACTCGCTGTTGGCTGGGCTCCCTGCCTGTGCCATTAAACCCCTACAACTTATCCAGAACGCTGCAGTTCGTCTGGTGTTCAACCTTCCCAAGTTCTCTCATGTCACCCCGCTCCTCCGCACACTCCACTGGCTTCCATTTGAAGCTTGCATCTACTACAAAACCATGGTGCATGCCTACGGAGCTGTGATGGGAACGACACCTCCTTACCTTCAGGCTGTGATCTGACCCTACACCCAAACGAGGTCACTACCTTCATCCACCTCTGGCCTGCTAGACCCCCCTACCTCTACGGAAGCACAGTTCCCGCTCAGCCCAGTCAAAGCTATTCGCTGCTCTGGCACCCCAATGGTGGAACAAGCTCCCCCACGACGCCAGGACAGCAGAGTCACTGACCACCTTGCGGAGACACTTGAAACCCTACCTCTTTAAGGAATATCTGGAATAGTATAACAGTAATCCTTCTACCACCCCCCCCCCATAAAAAAAAAGAAAAAGGGTGGTTGTCCCACTGGCTATCCTAAGTTGAATGCACCAATTTGTAAGTCGCTCTGGATAAGAACGTCTGCTAAATGACTTAAATGTTAAATGCAATAAGAAGAAGACACCTGCTTGGGCCAAGAAACACGAGTAATGGACATTAGACCGTGGAAATTTGTCCTTTGGTCTGGAGTCCAAATTGGAGATTTTTGGTTCCAACCGCCGTGTGAGACGCGGTGTGGGTGAACGGATGATCTCTGCATGTGTAGTTCCCACCGTAAAGCATGGAGGAGGAGGTGTTATGGTGTGGGGCTGCTGGTGACACTGTCTGTGATTTATTTAGAATTCAAGGCACACTTAACCAGCATGGCTAACACAGCATTCTGCAGCGATACGCCATCCCATCTGGTTTGGGCTTAGTGGGACTATCATTTGTTTTTCAACAGGACAATGACCCAACACACCTCCAGGCTGTGTAAGGGCTATTTTACCAAGAAGGAGTGATGGTGCTGCATCAGATGACCTGGCCTCCACAATCCCCCGACCTCAACCCAGTTGAGATGGTTTGGGATGAGTCGGACAGCAGAGTGAAGGAAAAGCAGCCAACAAGTGCTCAACATATGTGGGAACTCCTTCAAGACTGTTGGAAAAGCATTTCAGGTGAAGCTGGTTGAGAGAATGCCAAGAGTGTGCAAAGCTGTCATTAAGGCAAAGGGTGGCTATTTGAATAATCTCAAATATAAAATATATTTTGATTTGTTTAACACTTTTTTGGTTACTACATGATTCCATATGTGTTATTTCATAGTATTGATGTCTTCACTATTATTCTACAATGTAGAAAATAGTAAAAATAAAGACAAACCCTTGAATGAGTAGGTGTGTCCAAACCTTTGACTGGTACTGTATGTATAAATGTGTATGCATGCATGTGCGTGCAAGTGCATGAGTGTTTTGAGGCCTTTACCTAGCCTTGCCAGGTACTGCAGGGTGAGGAGGATTACGGTCTCCACACTGAGCAGTTGGCTGCTGTTCAGTCCAAGACTGGACAGGGTCTTCTCAGTCAGCTGGTTGCCCTTATAGCAGTTCGCTAGCATGGGGCTCACCACAATGTCCCCCACAAAGTGTGGTAACGTACCATGCCCTGCCAAACCAAACATCAGAGTCAATTCAATTAACTTAAATTAAATTAAATTGCAGTCAGTCAAATAATGGTGGTTTGTACCGATGAGGATGACAGGGCGGACTCCTGAGAAGTTGAGCAGGTTGTCGGGGACGATGACAGTCTCTCCGGCAGTGACAGGTTGGGGATGAAGGACCCCTGCTACAGGTGGCTGAGGAGTAGGCATGGCCAGCACAGAGCCTGGTGGAAAAGACAGAGAGATACATGTCAATACTGGGATTAGAATACAGCTAGACATCAGCTCAGCACCAACTCTCCTCCTTGAAAGATACCCTCCAGCAGGCTTTGACTCCAAACCTTATCTAGCACAGCTGATTCTACGAATGAACTACTCACCAGGACCTTGATTGGCTAAATCAAGTGTCTTACAATGGGATTGGAGCAAAAGCCTGCATACCTTGTACTGTAACTCTCCAGGAGGAGGGTTGGCCTCCTCTGCTGTAGATTTTTCTGAGTGTTTCCATTATTAGAAGATAACCATGTCCAATGTTTGTAGGTGGAATGGTCATCAACAAAACTCTATACAGCCCTTTATCCTCTGAATATACAGTGGGGAAAAAACGTTTTTAGTCAGCCACCAATTGTGCAAGTTCTCCCACTTAAAAAGATGAGAGAGGCCTGTAATTTTCATTATAGGTACACATCAACTATGACAGACAAAATGAGAAAAAAAAATCCAGAAAATCACATTGTAGGATTTCTAGTGAATTTATTTGCAAATTATGGTGGAAAATAAGTATTTGGTCAATAACAAAAGTTTCTCAATACTTTGTTATATACCCTTTGTTGGCAATGACACAGGTCAAACATTTTCTGTAAGTCTTCACAAGGTTTTCACACACTGTTGCTGGTATTTTGGCCCATTCCTCCATGCAGATCTCCTCTAGAGCAGTGATGTTTTGGGGCTGTCGCTGGGTAACACGGACTTTCAACTCCCTCCAAAGATTTTCTATGGGGTTGAGATCTGGAGACTGGCTAGGCCACTCCAGGACCTTGAAATGCTTCTTACGAAGCCACTCCTTCGTTGCCCGGGCGGTGTGTTTGGGATCATTGTCATGCTGACAGACCCAGCCACGTTTCATCTTCAATGCCCTTGCTGATGGAAGGAGGTTTTCACTCAAAATCTCACGATACATGGCCCCATTCGTTCTTTCCTTTACACGGATCAGTCGTCCTGGTCCCTTTGCAGAAAAACAGCCCCAAAGCATGATGTTTCCACCCCCATGCTTCACAGTAGGTATGGTGTTCTTTGGATGCAACTCAGCATTCTTTGTCCTCCAAACACGACGAGTTGAGTTTTTACCAAAAAGTTCTATTTTGGTTTCATCTGACCATATGACATTCTCCCAATCCTCTTCTGGATCATCCAAATGCACTCTAGCAAACTTCAGACGGGCCTGGACATGTACTGGCTTAAGCAGGGGGACACATCTGGCACTGCAGGATTTGAGTACCTGGTGGCGTAGTGTGTTACTGATGGTAGGCTTTGTTACTTTGGTCCCAGCTCTCTGCAGGTCATTCACTAGGTCCCCCCGTGTGGTTCTGGGATTTTTGCTCACCGTTCTTGTGATCATTTTGACCCCACGGGGTGAGATCTTGCGTGGAGCCCCAGATCGAGGAAGATTATCAGTGGTCTTGTATGTCTTCCATTTCCTAATAATTGCTCCCACAGTTGATTTCTTCAAACCAAGCTGCTTACCTATTGCAGATTCAGTCTTCCCAGCCTGGTGCAGGTCTACAATTTTGTTTCTGGTGTCCTTTGACCGCTCTTTGGTCTTGGCCATAGTGGAGTTTGGAGTGTGACTGTTTGAGGTTGTGGACAGGTGTCTTTTATACTGATAACAAGTTCAAACAGGTGCCATTAATACAGGTAACGAGTGGAGGACAGAGGAGCCTCTTAAAGAAGAAGTTACAGGTCTGTGAGAGCCAGAAATCTTGCTTGTTTGTAGGTGACCAAATACTTATTTTCCACCATAATTTGCAAATAAATTCATAAAAAATCCTACAATGTGATTTTCTGGAGAAAAAATGTCTCAATTTGTCTGTCATAGTTGACGTGTACCTATGATGAAAATTACAGGCCTCTCTCATCTTTTTAAGTGGGAGAACTTGCACAATTGGTGGCTGACTAAATACTTTCCCCCCCCACTGTATACAGAATAAAACCAGGGAATATATGTCTCCTTAAAGTCACAGTGTCCTGGCTCTCCTAGCTTGGCAGACCTCTTTCAGTTCATACTGTATCTGCACTAACATGTCTGACCCGATCTCCATGGAGATGCTGAATGAATCACCCCTGACAACAGAGAATGTCTCAGACCTTGTGTCCTTCCTTTTCATGAAAAGGGAGGTCAATGTACTAGTCAACATCACACACACACTCACACACCCACACACATACAGACAGAGAGAGACACGCTAAACTAATCTGTGCCAGACCTGGGGAGGAGACGATGGGTTGGATGGCGGGCACAGGGACGGCTGTAGGGAGGACTGGCACCAGGGGGTTGGGGAGCCAACCGCGGTGGCGCTTCTTGGGCGGGCCTGAGGTCATGGCAGACGAAACTGGACAGAAAACATCACAAGAGGAACATATGAACGAACTGCAGAATACCTACAATCTGGGTCCCCAGAACATTCACTGGGCATCTACAATAGCAATCTATGAGTAACTGTAATCTCCAACGAGGAGCTAGTGCGGTTGAGTTACACTCAATTGGGTTTAAAACAGCAACAAAGACAAGCCACAGAGGTTTGGGACGAGAACATGGGGCTCACCAGGGCTGTCTCCTGGGTCCGAGGTTCTGTAACCCTGTCCTTGGGTTCCCAGAGACACCTGGGAGAGGCTCAGTAAGGGGGGGCGGCCGTCTGCACCCAGTCCGCTGGTCGGACCATTCACTCTCAGAACCGTGGGCACTGCACAGACACACACAGACAGACAGACAGACAGACAGACAGACAGACAGACAGACAGACAGACAGACACACACACAGACACAGACACAGTCACACACACACACACAGACAGACACACACACAGACAGACAGACACACAGACAGACAGACACACACACACACAGACAGACACACCATACACTGTTATGATGCATTTCACCACAGTTCATTTTCAGATGATTCGATAAGATAACATTTTGACAGTGTTTTGTGTCACGCCCTGACTCAGAGGACACTTGTATGTTGAGTCAGGGTGTGTATTTTCCTTGCTGTGTTTGTCCATGTTGTACATTCTAGTATGTATAGATCTATGTTGGCCTGTGTGGTTCCCAATCAGAGGCAGCTGTCGCTTGTTGTCTCTGATTGGGGACCATACTTAGGCAGCCTATTGGTCCTAGTGGGTTGTGGGATCTTGATCCAGTTAAGGTATGTTGTGTTGTGCTGCCTTGGACTTCACGTTTCGTTTTGTTTGTTGTTTTGTCGTTGTGTTTAATATTTAATAAACATGTACGCATATCACGCTGCGCCTTGGTCTGACCCGTCGATGAACGATCGTGACAGAAGATCAAAGAGCGAATTGCCATGTCACAGGTGGGCAAATTGTGGTCATGGGAAGAGATATTCGCGGGGAAAGGGCCATGGGCGAAGGTAGATGCCCAGGCAGGAGAGGAGCAACGGCAACACAGAGGACGCCGGTCGAGGAGGAAGCCCGAGAGACAGCCCCAATAAAAAAATTTGGGGGGGCTAAAGGGGTGGTCGGGGAGCGTGAGAGAAGAGCCCCGACCACTGCACCCGGTTGGTTTTCAGTTTGGGTCCCTACGACCTTGAAGAGGAGTGGGAACAGTATTATACTGAGGAGTCAGAGGATGACGACGACGAGTTTCTGTTCCCTGCACTAAGCCAGTGGTGCGCGTCGCCAGCCCGGCCCGGCCTGTTCCTGCCCCTCGCACCAAGCCAGTGGTGCGCGTCGCCAGCCCGGTCCGGGCCTGTTCCTGCCCCTGGCACCAAGCCAGTGGTGCGCGTCGCCAGCCCGGTCCGGCCTGTTCCTGTCCCTCGCACCAAGCCAGTGGTGCGCGTCGCCAGCCCGGTCCGGCCTGTTCCTGCCCCTCGCACCAAGCCAGTGGTGCGCGTCGCCAGCCCGGCCCGGCCTGTACCTGCCCCTCGCACCAAGCCAGTGGTGCGCGTCGCCAGCCCGGTCCGGCCTGTTCCTGCCCCTCGCACCAAGATAGTGGCAGCCCGGTCCGGCCTGTTCCTGCCCCTCGCACCAAGCCAGTGGTGCGCGTCGCCAGTCCGGTCCGGCCTGTTCCTGTCCCTCGCACCAAGCCAGTGGTGCGCGTCGCCAGTCCGGCACGGCCCGTGCCTGTTCCACCGGTGCCTGGTCCGGCACCGGTCGGCTGCTCCACTCCGGAGCCAGAGCGGTCCGCTCCACCGGTGCCCAGTTCAGCTCCGGCAGCTGCTCCACTCCGGAGCCAGAGCAATCCGCTTCACCGGGGTCCAGTCCAGCTCTGGTCAGCGGCTCCACTCCGGAGCCAGAGTAGTCCGCTCCACCGGTGCCTGATCCAGCTCCGGTCAGCTGCTCCACTCCGGAGCCTGAGCAATCCGCTCCACCGGGGTCCAGTCCAGATCCGGTCAGCGGCTCCACTCCGGAGCCAGAGCAGTCCGCTCCACCGGTGCCCAGTCCAGCTCCGGTCAGCGGCTCCAGTCCGGAGCCTGTGTAGTCCACTCCACCGGAGCCCGGTCCAGCTCCGGTCAGCGGCTCCGGTCCAGACACAGACGTCAGCCCCTCTCCAGGTTCGGGGTCTCCCACACCAGGGTCCAGACAGGGCTTGGTGCTTCGTGGGAGGAAGGAGAGGGGAAGCAGCGTGCCGAGGTCCAGACCAGACCAGGGGCGCAACAGGGAGGCGGAGAGTAAGTGGTCGTCACGCCCTGAGCCGGATCCGCCTCCGAGTTATGTTTATGTTGTGCGGTCGGAGTCCGCACCTTTGGGGGGGGGTACTGTCACGCCCTGACTCAGAGGACGCTTGTATGTTGAGTCAGGGTGTGTATTTTCCTTGTTGTGTTTGTCCATGTTGTACATTCTAGTATGTATAGATCTATGTTGGCCTGTGTGGTTCCCAATCAGAGGCAGCTGTCGCTCGTTGTCTCTGATTGGGGCCCATACTTAGGCAGCCTATTGGCACTAGTGGATTGTGGGATCTTGTTCCAGTTAAGGTATGTTGTGTTGCCTTCACGTTTCGTTTGTTGTTTTGTCGTTGTGTTTAATATTTAATAAACATGTACGCATATCACGCTGCGCCTTGGTCTGACCCGTCGATGAACGATCGTGACATTTTGAGAGATGCCATACGTGAAATGCATGTTTATCTTCCTCTGTTATAGGAAACAAATAGTAAACAAATATAAGAGATACGTGTTTGATAATCACAAAAGAAAACCAATCGTCCTGACAGATATCTTCCTTATACAGAGACTGAGCAATATACATTATAAGAAGGATTTAGGCCCGCCTAACACTGAGCTATTGATTTCCTATTGCCAATGAACTGATGGGGCACTTACCAATCTCAGATTCACTCTGTGTGCATATACACTACCACATTGATTGGTACAGTATGTGTAGCCCAGGCCTGTCAATATTGCAACCTTGTAAACGAGCTAATGGATAGCCAGCCCTTAAAAAGTTATTACAGGGATTTTCTGCTCATTATTGATGAGGAGTGTGTGCGTGCGGCATTACTTCTGCTATGTGCCCTGGTCTGAGTAGGAGAAGGAGAAGGAGCTGTTGCCTAGAAACATGTTGGCTTACATGGCCAATCATAGGCCAGATGGAGCTGTGGAGTGTAGATTAGCCTCTTCTACTGACTGGAGACACACACACACACACACACACACGCATGCACGAGGCTATGTTCTGACCCTTAGAAATACCTGGACTAAAGCCTATCACATGTGAGGCAGTCTGTATAATATCACTGGATATTATTGATGCATGATGTACCATGGTGTAAAACACTTTAAAGCTGACGTTGTGGGGGAATGATGACTATACCATGGAGATGTGATCACACATACAGTAGATTAAAACATCCAGAAACAGTGGTGGTAGAAGAAGAGAAGAAGAAGAGTTGAACCTATTGGTAGAGTGTTGGTCCCAGGGGTAGAAGCCAGAGGCTTGAGGAAGCTGCACTCTCGGGCCAGGTCCTGGGCTGAGAAGAACACAGAGGATGCAGGGGGAATCCTGGTAGATGGGGAGTCTGGAGGGCAATAAGAACACAGGGTGGGTGTTAGAATGGATCCTGTCAAGTGACGTTAACCAAAATCTCTCCAAACCACACTAACACTTCAACAATACTGACTCAATCCAATTGTTCCATTAGAACAAGTAGACCATAACCATCCCCTTTAACCAAACAATGCTTCGTAAACAAACAGACACTATCCACTCCAGCCAGATGTCATCTTGGTCAGAGGAGGGAGAGGCGAGGGGGTGTTGTGTCAAACCTCTACCCTTCCCTGACAGAGCATGACAACCTCACTGGGAGCAGGATGTAGCTCAAGGTTGGATTCAGGAGATAGGAGGCTAAAGTCAATAGAGCATATCAGCACAGCTGTCTAACACATCAGGTTAGATCTTACACTGACTGAACACTAACTAGCCTATAAACTGAGCCAGAGTCGACTGCCATGAGTGTGTCCTACCTGAGAGGGAGAAGGGGGAAGAGGAGGGTGTGTCTGTCCTACCTGAGAGGGAGAAGGGGGAAGAGGAGGGTGTGTGTGTCCTACCTGAGAGGGAGAAGGGGGAAGAGCTGTGTCTGTTGGTGCCTCCGTTCTCCTTGATGCTCAGGGAGGATGAGGAGTTGGGCTTGGAGGTGGACGCACTGCTAATGGAGAACTGACGCGTTTTACAGTCTGGGGAAAAGGAGGGTAGAAATACATTTTCTTTTTTAAATAGACCTGGAAACAGTGAATCAATAAATAATCATTTTTGTTTATATATTGATGGGTCATAGAAAGATTATAGCCCCAGAAGATAGCCCTATTTGGTAAAAGACCAAGTGCATATTATGGCAAGAACAGCTCAAATAAGCAAAGAGATACGACAGTCCCATCATTACTTTAAGACATTAACATTTCAAGAACTTTGACAGTTTCTTCAAGTGCAGTCACAAAAACCATCAAGCGCTATGATGAAACAGGAATGGAAGACCCAGAGTTACCTCTGCTGCAGAGGATAAGTTCATTAGAGTTACCAGCCTCAGAAATTGCAGCCCAAATAAATGCTTCACAGAGTTCAAGTAACAGACACATCTCAACATCAACTGTTCAGAGGAGACTGTGTGAATCAGGGCTTCATGGTCGAATTGCTGCAAAGAAACCACTACTAAAGGACACCAATAAGAATAAGAGACTTGGTTGAGCCAAGAAACACGAGCAATGGACATTAGACCAGTGGACATTTGTCCTTTGATCTGGAGTCAAAATTTGAGATTTTTGGTTCCAACCGCCGTGTCTTTGTGAGACGCGGTGTGGTTGAACAGAATACCTCCGCATGTGTATTTCCCACCATAAAGCATGGAGGAGGAGGTGTTACGCTGTGGGGGTGCTTTGCTGGTGACACTGTCTGTGATTTATTTAGAATTCAAGGCACACTTAACCAGCATGGCTACCACAGCATTCTGCAGCGATACGCCATCCCATCTGGTTTGGGCTTAGTGGGACTATCATTTGTTTTTCAACAGGACAATGACCCAACAAACCTCCAGGCTGTGCAAGAGCTATTTTACCAAGAAGGAGAGTGATGGAGTGCTGCATCAGATGACCTGGCCTCCACAATCTCCCGACCTCAACCAAATTGAGATGGTTCGGGATGAGTCGGACCGCAGAGTGAAGGAAAAGCAGCCAACAAGTGTATGTGGGAACTCCTTCAAGACTGTTGGAAAAGCATTCCAGGTGAAGCTGGTTGAGAGAATGCCAAGAGGCAAAGGGTGGCTACTTTGAAGAATCTCAAATCTCAAATATATTTTGATTTGTTTAACACTTTTTTGGTTACTACATGATTCCATATGTGTTATTTCATAGTTTTGATGTCTTCACTATTATTCTACAATGTAGAAAATTGTAAAAATAAAGAAAACCCTTGAATGAGTAGGTGTTCTAAAACATTTGACCGGTAGTGTATATTACAGAAACCGCTCAACTACAAACACTATGCAATTCTAATGCATTTACTAATTTAGTAGGAAACATTATTTAATGTTGTATAACAATACAATGTTACTAGTGTAATTACAGTGTTACTACACAGGTATAAGAGCAATTCAATGTAAAGTGTGAAATATGCAGATAGAGTCAGAGAGACATCTCACGTTGTATGGTGGTATTATACATTTTGTATTGTAGATATGTAGTGGTGTAATAATGTTATATGATGTACTGTTTTATCTTTTGTTGATGTGTAATGTAAGTGCCTTAATGTGTTTGGACCCCAGGAAGAGTAGCTGCTTCCTTGGCAGGAAGTAATTGGAATCCTTAATAAACCCCAGGAAGAGTAGCTGCTGCCTTGGCAGGAAGTAATGGGGATCCTTAATAAACCCCAGGAAGAGTAGCTGCTGCCTTTGGCAGGAAGTAATGGGGATCCTTAATAAACCTCAGGAAGAGTAGCTGCTGCCTTGGCATTAAGTAATGGGGATCCTTAATAAATACAAATACAAAAATACAAATCTCACCTTTCCAGCAGATGAGGCGTCCTTTGCACAGAGCATCCTGACAGTTCTTCACCAGGTAGTATTTTAAGTGCTTCTGCTTCTTGGGCTGCGTGGCCAGCTTCAGGTTGATGTGGTTGGAAAACTCAGTAAAGTACCGGAACCCCTTCTCTCCACAGCCAACACAGTTCCCTGAAAACCCTGCACACACCATACACAGAGAGAGAGAACATGAGTTGGGAACTGTAGGCATTTACACAATAAGTATGCATAATTTCAGATTATATGGAGACATTATTGTCTTATGTCAATATTGCTAAACCAAAAAAAAATCAGAACAGCCAAAAATAAGTCATTCAATTCACTTACTAAATATTGCATTAAATGACGGCACAGCACAGGTGAATCAAATGCTGAATGCAACAGAAATCAAAAGTAGTAGCAAGCAGCAGTACGGCCGGTGGAAAAAATACATCACTTCAGATGACTCATCCAAGCTGAGCGGGTAAAATAGGACATTCATTTCAGAGGCCTAAAGTGCATTCAATTTCCTTTAACTCTGACCTAGGCTGTGCATGATCTTTGTATTGTATCAAGTCAAAGAGGCATGGCAGACTGACCTAAAAGTGCATTTTTCCCGTTCTCATCAGGCAGAAAGCGTCGGTCCACAGCACACACCAGGATGTGGTCTGGGATGCTGGGGGACTTGGCACCGACCAACTCGAAGCCAGCTGGGACTTCGATCGGCTCTGTCGTCATGGAGACCAGACGGAGGTCCTTACCGGCCTGACAGAAGCCTGAGGAGAAGAGAGAGAACACCAATCAACTCAGGAGTAAACATCCACAACAATAACCAACACACACACACACACACCTATTTTTTAGGAAGGCCAGGGTGGAGTCCCATTGAGACCAAGCTCTCTTTTACAAGGAGCCCTGCATGACAAGGGTTCCCTGCCTGTAATCTACATGTCTACATTACACTGGAACATACTAAGGTGAATATTGCTGCAAACGTGGTGTTCCTAGGGAGAGAATTAACAAGATGTGTTCTTAAGACATGCTTTTTAACAGGGATTTGAATCCTAGGGTCTCTCAACTTCTGAGAAAGTCCCAGGGTGAAATGAGTTTGACATTGTTTAAGGCCTACCATCCATTGTGCAACAGCCGTCGGGCGAGGGGCCATGTAGGTAGGGTGTCGGGGGGCTGCCGGTGTCAGAGTCGTTGTCGTCCTCCATCTCCTCCAGACCGTTAGAGGCCTGGCCGTTCAGCAGATCCTGACCCGGAGGCTCCCCGCACGGCAGGTACAGGTCCACCTTGGGCTTTATATCTGTCCCCATAACACAAATGACCGCGTAAGACATAATGTCCCCATAACACACAATGACCCCGTAAGACACAATGACTCTGTAAGACACAATGACCCCGTAAGACACAATGACCCCGTAAGACACAATGACTCCGTAAGACATAATGTCCCCATAACACACAATGACCCCGTAAGACACAATGACCCCGTAAGACACAATGACCCCGTAAGACACAATGACCCCGTAAGACACAATGACCCCGTAAGACACACTGACTCTGTAAGACACAATGACCCCATAACACACAATGACCCCATAACACACAATGACCCCGTAAGACACAATGACCCCGTAAGACACAATGACTCTTTAAGACATAATGTCCACCTATGACACAATGTCGCCAAAATACACCACATCATTGAACACATTAAATTATCTTGGAGTGAAGATGCCATACAAAAGCAAGGAGATGGAGATTGGAGATTTTGCAAGGCCTTTTTCAAGAGAAGGACGAACCCATAACACATTACATGGCCACATTCAAGTCCACCTCTCTTCAAGAAAACTACACTGAACAAATATATAAACGCAAAATGCAACAATTTCAAAGATTTTACCGAGTTACAGTTCATATAAGGGAATCAATCAGTTTAAATAAATTAATTAGGCCCTAATCTATCAATTTCACATGACTGGGAATACAGATATGCATCTTTTGGTCACAGATAGCTTTAAAAAAAGTAGGGGCGTGGATCAGAAAACCAGTCAGTATCTGGTGTGACCACCATTTGCCTCATGCAGCGCGACACATCTCCTTCGCATAGAGTTGATCAGGCTGTTGATTGTGGCCTGTGGAATGTTGTCCCACTCCTCTTCAATGGCTGTGCGAAGTTGCTGGATATTGGCGGGAACTGGAATACGCTGTGGAACACGTCAATCCAGAGCATCCCAAACATACTCAATGGGTTTCATGCCTTGTGAGTATGCAGGCAATGAAAGAACTGGGACATTTTCAGCTTCCAGGAATTGTGTACAGATCCTTGAGACATGGGGCCGTGCATTATCATGCTGAAACATGAGGTGATGGCTGTGGATAAATGGCACGACAATGGGCCTCAGGATCTCTTCACAGAAATTGTCATCGATAAAATGCAATTGTGTTCATTGTCAGTAGCTTATGCCTGCCCATACCATAACCCCACCGCCACCATGGGGCACTCTGTTTACAACGTTGACATTCAAGCTTTCTGTCATCTGCCCGGTACAGCTGAAACCAGGATTCATCTGTGAAGCGCACACTTCTCCAGCGTGCCAATGGCCTTCCAAGGTGAGCATTTGCCCACTGAAGTCGCTTACGATGCCGAACTGCAGTCAGGTCAAGACCCTGGTGAGGACGACGAGCACGCAGATGAGCTTCCCTGAGACGGTTTCTGACAGTTTGTGCAGAGATTCTTTGGTTATGCAAAACCACAGTTTCATCAGCTGTCCGGGTGGCTGGTCTCAGACGATACCGCAGGTGAAGAAGCCGGATGTGGAGGTCCTGGGCTGGCGTGGTTACACGTGGTCTGCAGTTGTGAGGTCGGTTGGACGTACTGCCAAATTCTCTAAAACGAAGTTAGAGGCGGCTTATGGTAGAGAAATAAATATTATATTCTCTGGCAACAGTTCTGGTGGACATCTTTGCAGCCAAAACTGCACATTTTCAGGTGGCCATTTATTGTTCCCAGCACAAGGTGCACCTCTGTAATGATCATGCTGTTTAATAAGTTTCCTGATATGCCACACCTGTCAGGTGGATGGATTATTTTGGCAAAGGAGAAATTATCACTAACAGGGATGTAAACAAATATGTGCACAACATTTGAGAGTAATAAGCTTTTTGTGCATATGGAACATTTCTGGGATCTTTTATTTCAGCTCATGAAACATGGGACCAACAACACTTTACATATTGCATTTATATTTTTGTTCAGTATAAATGACTGAGATGACATGGACTTGCTGTACGGGTATTATGGAATGATTGATTCTTAAGTGCCATTTAACTGGTCAACATCAGCATAATTAAACATGATCAGAGATGGCAGTTTTTTTCAATGTGTTTCAATTAACTATGATCCACTAATGAAAGAGGCAGCTAGCTATAGTTAGTGTTTTGTTCTGTTTCTATACATAACAACCTTGGTGAGGACAGAGAATGGAGCAATGCAGACAGACAGACAGGGAGACAGGGAGACGCACCCTCCATGTTGCCAGGATACTGGACAGGCTCCAGGTATAGCTGGGTGAAGATGGGCTGTGGGTCTCCACTGCTGGAGCGTAGGGAGGCCTTGATAGAGTTGTGGAGGGCCTCCTCGAAGCGAGCAGATTTCAGCTGCCCTGCGTACGAATTCCCCATTATCTGGAATGAGAAGAAGGTTATAACATGAACATAGGCACAGCTATCCACTCCAGGCTCAGCTCCATCCACGTCCATTAGTAAGAGAGTAGAATCAGAGGAGGCTGGCGGGAGGAGCTATAGGAGGACGGGATAATTGTAATTGGTGGAATGGAATAAATGGAACGGTATCAAACACAACGCAACGCAATCTACTGTAGAGATAGCCTGCAATCTACTGTAGAGATAGCCTGCAGAGCTCTATCATACTATCCAGGTCTGTGCCCAAACAGTTTGAGCTTCTACTTCTAAAAATCCACCTTTCCAGAAATAAGTCTCTCACTGTTGCCGCTTGCTACAGACCCCCCTCAGCCCCCAGCTGTGCCCTGGACACCATATGTGAATTGATTGCCCCCCATTTATCCTCAGAGTTTGTACTGCTTGGTGACCTAAATTGGGATATGCTTAATACCCCAGCCATCCTACAATCCAAGCTAGATGCCCTCAACCTCACGCAAATTATCAACGAACCTACCAGGTACAACCCTAAATCCGTAAACATGGGTACCCTCATAGATATCATCCTGACTAACATACCCTCTAAATACACCTCAGCTGTCTTCAACCAGGATCTCAGCGATCACTGCCTTATTGCCTGCGTCTGTAACGGGTCCGCGGTCAAACGACCACCCCTCATCACTGTCAAACGCTCCCTAAAACACTTTAGCGAGCAGGCCTTCCTAATTGACCTGGCCCAGGTATCCTGGATGGATATAGATCTCATTCCGTCAGTAGAGGATGCCTGGTTGTTCCTTAAAAGTAATTTCCTCTCAATCTTAAATAAACATGCCCCATTCAAAAAATACAGAACTAAGAACCGATATAGCCCCTGGTTCTCCTCAGACTTGACTGCCCTTGACCAGCACAAAAACATCCTGTGGCGTACAGCATTAGCATCAAATAGCCCCCGCGATATGCAACTTTTCAGGGAAGTTAGGAACCAATATACACAAGCAGTCAGGAAAGCAAAGGCTAACTTTTTCAAACAGAAATTTGCATCCTGTAGCACTAACTCCAAAAAGTTTTGGGACACTGTAAAGTCCATGGAGAATAAGAGCACTTCCTCCCAGCTGCCCACTGCACTGAGGCTAGGAAACACTATCACCACCGATAAATCTACAATAATCGAGAATTTCAACAAGCATTTTGCTACAGCTGGCCATGCTTTCCATCTGGCTACCACTAACCCGGCCACCAACTCTGCACCCTCTGCTGCAACTTGCCCATGCCCCCCCCGCTTCTCCTTCACACAAATTCAGACAGCTGATGTTTTTGAAAGCGCTGCAAAATCTGGACCCCTACAAATCAGCTGGGCTAGACAATCTGGACCCTTTCTTTCTAAAACTAGCCGCCGAAATTGTCGCAACCCCTATTACTAGTCTGTTCAACCTCTCTTTCATAACGTCTGAGATCCCCAGAGATTGGAAAGCTGCCGCGGTCATCCCCCTCTTCAAAGGGGGTGACACTCTAGATCCAAACTGCTACAGACCTATATCCATCCTGCCCTGCCTTTCGAAAGTATTTGAAAGCCAAGTTAACAAACAGATCACCGACCATTTCGAATACCACCGTACCTTCTCCGCTATGCAATCCGGTTTCCGAGCTGGTCACGGGTGCACTTCAGCCACGCTCAAGGTCCTAAACGATATTATAACCGCGATTGATAATAGACAGTACTGTGCAGCCGTCTTCATCGACCTGGCCAAGGCTTTCGACTCTGTCAACCACCGCATTCTTATTGGCAGACTAAATAGCCTTGGTTTCTCAAATGACTGCCTCGCCTGGTTCACCAACTACTTCTCAGATAGAGTTCAGTGTGTCAAATCGGAGGGCCTGTTGTCTGGACCTATGGCAGTCTCTATGGGGGGTGCCACAGGGTTCAATTCTTGGGCCGACACTTTTCTCCGTGTATATCAATGATGTCGCTCTTGCTGCTGGTGACTCTCAGATCCACCTCTACGCAGACGACACCATTTTGTATACATCTGGCCCTTCATTGGACACTGTGTTAACAAACCTCCAAACGAGCTTCAATGCCATACAACAATCCTTCAGTAGCCTCCAACTGCTCTTAAACACTAGTAAAACTAAATGCATGCTTTTTAATCGAACGCTGCTGGCACCCGCCCACCCGACTAGAATCACCACTCTCGACGGGTCTGACCTAGAGTATGTGGACAACTACAAATACCTAGGTGTCTGGTTAGACTGTAAACTCAACTTCCAGACTCACATAAAGAATCTCCAATCCAAAGTTAAATCTAGAATCGGCTTCCTATTTCGCAACAAAGCCTCCTTCACTCATGCTGCCAAACATGCCCTCGTAAAACTGACTACCGATCCTTGACTTCGGCGATGTCATTTACAAAATAGCCTCCAACACTCTACTCAGCAAATTGGATGTAGTCTATCACAGTGCCATCCGTTTTGTCTCCAAAGCCCCATACACTACCCACCACTGTGACCTGTACGCTCTTGTTGGCTGGTCCTCACTACATGTTCGTCGTCAAACCCACTGGCTCCAGGCCATCTATAAATCACTGCTAGGCAAATCCCCGCCTTATCTTAGCTCATTGGTCACCATAGCAGCACCCACCCGTAGTCTGCGCTCCAGCAGGTATATCTCACTGGTCATTCCCAAAGCCAACACCTCCTTTGGCCGCCATTCCTTCCAGTTCTCTGCTGCCAATGACTGGAACGAATTGCAAAAATCTCTGAAGCTGGAGACTCTTATCTCCCTCAATAACTTTAAGCATCAGTTGTCAGAGCACCTTACCGATCACTGCACCTGTACACAGCCCATCTGAAATTAGCCCACCCAACTACCTCATCCCCATATTGTTATTTATTTTGCTCTTTTGCACCCCAGTATCTCTATTTGCACATAATCTCTTGCACATCTAGCATTCCAGTGTTAATACTATTGTAATTATTCTGAACTATAGCCTATTTATTGCCTTACCTCCATAACTTGCTACATTTGCACACACTGTATATATATTTTCTGTTGTATTTTTGACTTTATGTTTTTTACCCCATATGTAACTCTGTGTTGTTTTTATTGCACTACTTTGCTTTATCTTGGCCAGGTCGCAGTTGTAAATGAGAACCTGTTCTCAACTGGCTTACCTGGTTAAATAAAGGTGAAATAAAAAAATAAAAAAAATATGGAAACCACGTTTGACTCCGTTCCATTAATTCCATTCCAGCCATTACAATAAGCCCTTCTTCCTATAGCTCCTCCCACCATCCTCCACTGGTAGAAATCCAATCTACATAAGATACTTGTCCATACAGATGCTAGGATGAACTTAGTCTCACACTAGAAGATGCATCTAAGCATGCACACACACTATCTCTCACTCTCTTTCCCTTTTTTCCCCTCTGTCGTTATCTCTTTTTCCTATTTCTTTCTGGTTTTGTCTCTTTCTCTTTCCCTCTCTTTCTATCGCTCTTTCTGTCACTCTTTTTCTCTCACTCTGTCTGTCTCTCTGCCTGCCCTGTCCTGGCCCTGTTGCCCCCTCCCCTGGTCCACTCTACTGACATCTGGCGAGGTCGGCTGTGTGGGCCTGGGGTTGGGGTTGGGCAGCAGGTGGCAGCTAGACAGACAGGGGGGCACATGTGGCCTGGTGGCCCTGATAGTGTGTAAGGAGAGAGGGGGTAAGCTTAGTGAAAAGTCATTGTTCAAATAGAACAGAAGGGACCACTGCAGGGCCAGGGGTCTCAAGCAAGGAAAATAGCCAAGTAAGTACCCCCATACAGAACGTCTGATATAGCATATTCAACTAAATAACTCTCATTTACCCTCATACTACCGACTGGGGCCATTTTGATGCCAGAGGAATATTTTTGATCATAGCCCAAAGGTGGTTTATTAAATTCTTCACATTTTTCATGACTTTGTCAAACAACTTGTTCTTAACAAATCTAAATATTTGTTTTGTGTTTCTGTATCATTATGGACTTTTTTTAAATGCAAATCCTTTGGGGTCATTTTGACACCAGCCCAAAACACCTAATTCTGCCTATAGTAATTTGATAGATATGACCTTTATTTGAATCTAGGTTTCTCTGGAGACATAATAACAAGTTATCCATACCACCAGAGGGTGGAGGGGGACCTGTAGCAGTGATTTTGACCAGATAGAAAGCTCTCTCATGTACTCGCCTAAGATTGTCCTTTTCTATACCATGCATAGTATGACTGTGTACAAAACCAAAATTACCTTATTTTTGTGCACATAGAAATCTGCCAATGGTATACAAAGTATTCCACTGGTAGACATACTTGATAGAACTGCAAGACAGAACTCTGATATGCTCTGAATCTCCAGAGAGCTGTACTGGTGTGTATTCTCTGAAAACGAGTTATTCTAAGGCAAATCTAAAAAAAGTATTTATTTGAATCCAGGTTTCTCTGGAGACATAGTATTAAGTTATACATATCCTCAGAGGGTGGAGGGGGAACTGTATCAGTGATTTTGACCAGATAGACAGATCACCTGCAGTGAGGGAGCACCTTCTGTACTCGCCTATGGTTATAACTGGTTATAACTAGGTAAGACTGTGTACAAAATCAAAATTACCTTACATATATGCTTAGTTGCAGTCAAAACAGCTCATAAAAGTCAGTGGTATGAATACATGGTAGAACTGTAATACAGAAACCAGATACCCTCTAAAATGTACACATAGTGCTGTATTGGTGTGTATTCTCCAAAAAATAGTTATTGAATTCCTACAATATCGTCCAATTTTCTATATGTGTAACTTGTTATGGTATTTGGGTTGCTATAACATTTGGTTTGAAGAACCTGAGGATTTGGGCATGCTTTTTGAAGCATCCTGCCATTGGCCCTACCTCCCATTGTTCCACTAGCAGTGTTGCTAATGCTGGCTGTGGGTAAATAAAGAAAACTAAGCCATATTATTGGTCATTGTCTCTCAGGATCAATGGATGA